AGGCAATGGCCAGGGGGTCCTCTAGCCACTGTGCGTCTTAAACGAACGCGCCCACATTCCTGACATCAACCAGCGCACGTGCCTCCTTTGGCCTCGGCTGTTACCTTGGCTTTCTCCTGAGCAGCGATTTATCCCAGGTTACATCTCCTTCTCTTGAGCGCCTTCTGCTCCGCTTCCTCCCTCCCAATGCCTGCACATGTACGGGGTGCCTGAGTCGCTGCAGAGGGCATCACCCAGGGGCCCTCGCCCTCAGCCGCTGCCACCTCCAGGCCGACTGGCTGCTTCCCAGCTCTTCTGCCAACCCTGCCCAAGCTCCCCGCTTGCTTCCTTGCACAAGCCTCCTTGTTTCTGAGCGGGGTTTGGTCTTCCTGCCTTCTGGTTTCCCAAAATTTTGTTTCAGCAAAGTTTGTCAAAAACCTCCAGCCCATTCTTAGGCTTTGCTGGTCGGAAGACCTGCCCTCCCCCCGACCCCACGGGCATGCAATGCGGAGGCCCGGCTGCAGGTCAGAAAAGGGCTCTCCGGGCTGGGCGGCGGTGGCCAGGAGGGCTCCCGGGGCAGCGCTGGGGGCAAGTCTGCAGCGCTTTCCAGAGTTCACTGATCGGGCTCGGGTTGCGACTGGCGAGCGGCAGCTGCCTCTCTGCGGAAGGCGGCTGGCATGCCGAGCGACAGGGGCAGGTGGCTCCGAGTCCCATGTGAGCGGGAGGGAAGGTTGCTGCTGGGGGGGGGCGGGGGAGGCCGCTGCTCCTTTCCAGGCTGGGCAACAGGTGCACTGGCTTGAATTGGCTTGGCTGGGGGGGGGAGGGTCTGCCTCTGCTCTCTGCTCTCTGCCCCGGCACCCCCACCTCTTCGCGTTGTTCCTGCAGGCCGAGCGTATGGCTTCCATCTCTCTGCCCAGTTTACAGGCTGTTGCTAATGGTTTTACTGGTATTTCTTTGCATGAGACCAACATGGGGCTTTACGGAGCACCTGCCACAAGCACATACGTAGGTCCCTGCCCCGAGGAGTCTGCAGTGCAAATGTTGCCAGTGCCAGGTTGGTGAGGTAGGACAATAAGCAGGCCAGGTGCTCCGTGCAGCCCGGAGAGGCTCTCTGACCAAAGGGGCTGCTGGCCTGGAACGTGATGGCGGGCAGTGGGGGCAGCCATGGGGCACTGGTTTCACTGCACTGGGCTCAAGCTTGGGCACCAGATCTTGGCAATTCCCATGTGAGCAGGGGTCGAATGGGGCAGCATTCAAGTATTATCAATGCGTAAGATTTTCTGCCCTTGCAGCAAGACACAGGGGGGCTTGGTGCCACGAGGAAAGGAGTAGGTGTGTAAGGCCAAGCGTCCGTGCGCCTGGCTTTGCCGAGGGCGGGGGGGAACCTGGAGCGCCAGCTGGAGCTTTTCAGACATGGGCTTTGAGGAAGGGCTTGGTGGAAGGAGAGAAAGGGAGCAGAAGCCCCTGTGGTGTGGTCCGGGCAAAGGGGCTTGGTGGGATGCAGGATGGAGCAGGGAGGCCAAGTGGGAACCCAAGGAGGGGAGAGCGGGGATGTCCAGAGGGGCAGGGGAGGGTGTTGTGGCGAAGAAGCACAAGGAATGGAGGAGGCTGGGCTATGGCAGGCAGGCCCGGGGGGGGGAAGGGGCTCAGCAGTGGCACAAGCACAGGCTGCATAAGGAATCGGGGGGCAGGGGAGGGGGGCTTGGAGGCAGTTTGCAATGTTCTGTGGGGGCGAATGGCCGGATGGGCAGAAGCAGATCTTGTAGAACCATAAAAGAGTAGAGTTGGAAGGAGCCAGAGGGGCATCGGGTCCAAGTCCTGCTGTCGCAGGACACCACCCCACTCAGGTGGCTGTCCAGACGCTTTCCGAATGTCTCCAGCGAGAAGAGCCCACCAGCTCCCCAGCTCACAGGTTCCATTGCCGTGGTGCTCCAACAGTGAGGACATTCCTCCTGGCGTCCGGTCTGAATCTGGCTTCTCGGAACTTGAGTCGCCATTCCATGTCCCGCGCTCTGGAAGGAATGAGAAGAGACCTCGTGCTCCCTCTCTGGGGCGGCCTCGGAGGTCCTCGTGGAGGCTCGCACAGCCCCTCCGAACCTCCTCTCCCTGAGGCTGCACGTGCCCAGTTCCGCAATCTTGCCTCCCAGGGCTTCGCCTCCAGCCCCTGATCCCCCCCTGTGGTCCTCCTCTGGGCCCTCTAGACTTTCCGCGTCTTCTCAGCTGCCCAGACCGGGACAGAGATTGCCAGGCGAGGCCTGACCGGTGCTGCGTGGAGGGGAGCTGGCGCTTCACCTGTCTGGGAAGTGCTGCTTCTGCTAATGCACCCCAAAAGAGCGGTTGCCCTTTTTGCAGCTGCGTCACATTGTTGGCTCCTATTGGGCTTGTGATCGACAGCAACCCCGAGATCCTTCTCTTTGCAGCTGTTGAGCCAAGCGTTCCCCATCCTGTAGCGGCGCCTTTGGCTTCTTGCTCCCCATGGAGGACGTGGCATTTCTTCCCACCGAAATTTCGTCTTTTGCTCTCTGCCCGGCATTCTCACCTATCCCGGTCACCCTGGATCATATCTCTGTCTTCCAGGGTGTTTGCTGTCCCACCCAGCTTTGTGTCAGCTGCAGATTTAATTATCTCTCCTTGTACTTCCTCATCGAAATTGTTAATGCAAATGTTGAAGCGTACCAGTCCCAGGACAGAGCCCTGTGCCACCCCATGTGTTGCCTCTCCCCAGCCTGGGAATGTGCCACTGGTGAGCACTCTTTGCGTCTGATTTTGCGGCCAATTGTGGATCCACAAAATGGTTGCGCTATCCAGCCTGCTTTTTGCTGGTTTGGGAATCAGGATGTCATGGGGCACTTTGTAGAAAGCTTTGCTGAAGTCCAAATAGATTATGTCCACAAGTATGAGATTTTAAAACTGATTTTGAGATAGATCATGTCCACAACTGGAAGATCAACTATGAGATGGATTGACTCCATCAAGAGGGCACCGTCGTGCATTTGCCAGGGCTGAGCAGGGCAGTCAAGGAGAGGGCATCCAGAGGGGCAATCGTGCAGAGGCTCACCAAAAATCAGAGCTTGCTTGATGGCCTGTAATGACAGAAGCGAAATGCTGGCCACAGCTGCTAGTTACATGGGTGAGTTCGCGCAACGTGCCAGCCCCACCAACACTCTCCAGTCGCTTGGACTTCAGGTCCCAGCATACCTGACTACTGGCCTTGCTCACAGGGACTTCTGGGAGCCCAGGTCCAGAGCATCTGTCGACTGACCTTGAGGGAGTTCCAGTGAGCCAGCAGGGGCCACCTGTGCCTCCCATTTTCTCGAGCGCCTCCTTTCAGGCTGTGCAGAGAAAAGTTCTGGGCAGACCTTCCGAACAGTGAGGGTGGCCACTCTTGGGAACAGGAGGCCGGGCGTGGTGGGGAATGGGCTGGGCCATCGCTCCGTGGGCCGTGAGGCCGAAACGGGAGCTGCAGCTTGAGCAGCAGCCTTGGGGAAAAGAGATGGTGCCCCTTGTCAGTGACTCAACCCCTGAGATCCCCGGTTTGTTTCCCACCCTGGAATTTTCCTACCTTTTACACATTCCTTCTCCCCAAGACTCTTCTGGAAGATTCCTCCCTGGTTGCCCACGTGCCTGCAGCTGCAGGGAAGAGACGGGGGCCTGTGCACAGCCATGCTCTCGGTCTCCACGAGACAACAGGGGCGGGACACGGCCGGCCCCACATCCCTGTGAGCTGGCTGGGCACCAGCAGATGAGTCCTGGGGGGAGGAAAGGAGAGCAGAGAGTATCTTCCATGGGAAAGGGCTCCCGGAGCAGGGAGAGGGTGCGCTGTGGCCCCGCGGGAGAGCTCCAGGAGAGCTCCGAGAGCGTCTGCACGGCAGTGAGGCGCCCCCACAGCCTCTCGTGCTGTGCACAAGGTCCTTGGCAGTGGCAGGTTGAACATGACCCAGCAGTGTGGCGTGGCAGTGAGGAAGGGACCGCCACCCGTGGGTGCGTAGCCAGAGGCATGGCGTGGCCCGCAGAGCAAGAGCGGTGCTGGTGCTGCTCTGTAAGGCACTGGTGCGCCCACCTCTGGAGGGCTGCGCCCAGTCCTGGGCTGCACATGAGAAGGGGCACAGGTGGGCTGTAATCGGTTCAGCACAGGGTCACAAGGGCAGCAGCCGCATTGTGCGGTGGGGGACATATGGAATTCAATGGAGGGGGCTGGGTCTTTTCAGCCTGGAGAAGAGGAGACTCCGAGGGGATCTTAGAGCGACATACGGGTATGTGAGGGGGTGTCACCAGGTAGCAGGACAAGACCCGTTCTCCCTTGCAGTGGAGGAAAGGACGTGGCCCAGTGGGGCAAAGCTCAGGGAACCAGGCTTCCGGCTGGATGTCAGGAAGCACTTCCTGCCAGTGAGGACCCCTCAGATATGGCCTGGGCTTCCACGGGAGGAGGGAGTGTGTTCAAGGAAAGCTTGGACAACCACAAGTTGGGGATGACATCAGTGGAGCCAGTTGGGCCGGGGGTCAGACTAGATGGCCCAGGGACCCACTTCTGGCTTGCTCTGTTTCTGTCTCCTGCTAACCAGGTTGGGCCAGAGAGGCCCATTCATTCTGCTGGGGCCATGGGCAGCCACCGCTCCCCTGAGCTGGGCAGGGCAGACAGGGAGGCCATCTTGCTCTGGGGCGGCTGCCCCCTTTGGTGCTCTTGGTGAGGCCACCGGACGGAGGCTTCTTGGGACGGAAGCTCAGAGCTGGGCAAGCTCCGCGCTCCAGTCTCTCATTCTCTGAGGGTGGGATCCAGCTGGGCAGCCATGGAGCCCGCTCTGCTTGTGGTGGGCCGTGGCAGGGGTTTTTGCGTGTTCCCCTACTCTCCTCTGGCTCAGGAACACCCATGCCGGAGCAGGATGGGTCCCAGATCTCGGGCCTGTCAGCCTCTCCTCTTCCTCCTGGGGTGCCACGGACCGCCCCCTCGCCAGGGTGGCATGCGTCCAGGCATGCTGGGCTGCCGGCCCTCACCGGCCCTCTCCGCTTCCCTCCCTCTCCAGCGTCCTGGAATGCCGTCAGGTGCTCGCATGCCCCACCAGGGGGCACCGATGGGTCCCCCGGGCCCTCCCTACGTGGGAACTCCCTCTGTGCGCCCCGGGATGCCCCCAGCTGTGATGGAGCCCACGCGCAAGAGGGCAGCACCGCAGCAGGCGCAGCAGGCCCAGGCACAACAGGCGCAGCAGGCGCAGCAGCAGGCGCAGCAGGCCCAGGCGCAGCAGGCTGCAGTGGCAGCAACCCAGAGCCGGCCGCGCAGGTGAGTGTGCCCTGGCGGGGGGGCACATGGGGAGCCCGGCCGGGCTGCCTCCCTTAGCTGCGTGGGCAGAAGCGGCCCGCCAAGCCCCGCCCCATCCCCCGAGCTGCAGGAGCATCTGCCCTGCCGTGCGCTGGCCAGACTCGGTGCCGCGGGCATCTGGGCTTGGTCATGCCCAGGGGCTCTCCTCCCCTGCGCCCAGGTTCCCACTTGGCCAGCGAGCCCCTCGCAGCGAGCCCCTCGCAGCGAGCCCCTCGCAGTGAGCCCCTCGCAGCGAGCCCCTCGCAGCTCCTTCCGTGTTGCCGCTGCCGTCTGAGTCCCCAGGGGTGAAGCACTGCTCGGGTGGAAGATGCCCACCGGGGGGGGGGCAGTTTGGCTGGATGGGGGGACATGGGGCAAGAGGGACCACAGCCTTGGCCAGGCCAACGTCTGGGCAGATTTGCCTTGCAGGCAGCTGAAGGAGCTCCCCCCTCTTCTCCCCCAGCTGCTTGTCGAGGTTTGGGGGTCTGTGGGGCGTGCTTGTCGGCCTGCTGGGCCACGCAGACGTGGCTCCTCTTTGCCCAGCGTACCAGGAGCACGAGCACTTCTGAGCAGCGGCTCGCTGTGCAAGGCTACAAGGAGTGGGGGGCTCTTGCCGTCCCGGGTGGCAGCCTGTGAAAGGCCAAGCCAAGCTTGGGGCCTGGCGGCCAGGCTTTGGTGGTGGCACGACTGTCACTGCATGGCTGCTGGGGGATGTTTGACCCTTGGAAGAAGGGAGCGAGCGAGCGAGCGAGCGTGCCTGCGTGCCGGTGTCCTTCTCTTGCTGGGGGCATGTGAAAGAGAGAGGCAGAAAATGACAGGCTGTGCAGCCACTCCTTGAATTCCTCGGGGCTGGAACTGGCCTGCAGCAGCGAGGGAGTGGGCTGCAGAGAGAAGGCAGCCTGGAGAGCCACTGGGCAAAACTCTGCAAGGGTCCCTCTTCTGTCCCCAGAAGAGAGCAGGAAAGAAACACCGAGCTCACATCCAGCCTGGAGCATCAGACCGCACTTCTGGCGCTGCTTGTTGACTGCCAGGACACTTTACCCCAGAAGCTGGGCAGCGGCCAGCTGGCCCAAGCCCTGGGTCGCCTGGCTGCCCTCTCCATATGTCCTGGGCTGGGGATGGAGCCTTCGACGGCTGAATGGCTCGTAGTGCTTGTTTCTGGGAGGGAGGTGCCTTGGGCAGCTTAGCCTGAGGACTGTGTCCACCCTGGACCAGTCTCCGTGGCCTTCCCAGCCTGTGCCACGTCCTTGCTGGCCAGGGAGTCGCCCTTCCTCCCCAAGGTGCTCTCTCGTCCCAGGCTCTGGAGACCGGTGCAGGGGGTGAAGCCCTCCCAGGGTCTGTGCGAGGGCCCTGCAGCCCCGCGGAGTGTGCGGAACAGGGCCAGCCCCCCGCCCGTCATGGCAAACTCTGCAAGGGACCAACTCCAGGGAAAGGAGCACTCCCTCTGTTGCCTGTCGCTTGTCCAGCGTTCCGGAGGCCATCGATGCCCCAGCCGCCTGGTGGTCTCGTCTGCATGGGGCCTGCAGCAGCCGCAGCTTTCCAGCTGTGAGTCTGCGAAGGGAGGGGATGCTGGCTCTCAGCCGGGCAGAGGACAGCGAGAGAGTGGGCCAGTCTCCCAGGATCCCCCTCAGCTTTCCACCTGAAAGGCTGGCGTGGCTGCTTGGGTCCTGTTAGCGGAGGCAGGGGGCCTGGCTTCCCTCTCCAGCTGCCCGCCCCATGCAGGGAAAACCTGACTCGCCGCCTCCTGCTGCCGTAGCGCCTCCTGCTGCCAGGTGGCAGCTCAGGCCGGGGCGTGCGTGCTGTGCTGTCAGCCGCCTCACCTCCACGTGCAAGGCTGTGCATAGACTGCATGCCGGCGTTTGCACTCATCCCTGCTCCCGCGGTTTGTCCCCGTGCGCATGGAGGGCCGGCTAGGTGGACCTTTGGCCCACGCCATCATGGCTTTCCTTCTGTGCTTCCCTTCCTATGATTTCTGGCTGCACGTGGGAACGAGGCGCATGCTGGCAGCTGCCCCCTTCCATGCAGCAACCACAGAGGGCAACAGCCAGGCACTAGGGCTCCCTCAGGAGTCCAGCAGCCCCGGCACGTGGCACTGACCTCTCGGTGGCTGCCCTGGGGCAGGCAGATGGGCCGGCCGGCCATGGGGCCCTTGCGTGGCAGACAAGCTGCCCCTGGCCTCTGCATGCCAGCCAGCCCGGCCCGGCCGCTCAGCAGGAACACGCCTCCGTTAGAAGAGGGCGCATCCTCGCCATCCCAAGCGCCAGGAGCAGCGGGGAGGGGACCGAGGCCGCGGGATCCCGCTGCCCCGTTCCTGCTTCGTGCGCCAGTCAGGCTGCCGGTGCCTGCCTCGTGGGCTCAGCTCGAGGCCCTGGATCCAGGGAGGCACCTGCTGTCGTGGGAGAGAGCAGCCCACCTGGTGGGAGGGCGGGCAGGTGAGACCCTCCTGCCAAGACCCCCATGCTGCAGGCAGAGATGCTGGGAAAATTTAGCAGGTGGCCTCGTTACTCCCAGGCTGGTCACCATGGTAACGTGTTTTTTTCTTTTAAAAATGCACAGTGCCAAGAGAAGGAAAATGGCAGACAAAATACTCCCTCAGAGGGTAAGTGGCTCTCATTCCTCTTCTGCTTCCCTGTCTGAGCCCAGCAAATGCCTCCCGGGGCGGTGGGGCAGGGCCGGTGGGGCGCTGCAGGGGCTGTGGCCGTGGCCAGGCAGGCCGCCGCACTGTGGGGCTCCCCCCAGCCCCTGCACCCGTGCTGTGGCCTAGAGCATCACCCATTTCTGGGGCGATGGGCCGGGGCAGGGTGCTGCAGGGGCCTCTGGGTGGAGAGGGTGCAGCCTGGCCTCTTCGTGCCTGGCTGCGCTGCAGCCGTGGGACCGAGCCGCCCGTGCTCTTGGACGGCAGCACCTGGCCAGTGCGGTGATCCTGTTTCAGCACTGTGCAGGTGAGGGGCCCCACAGGTGAGCGGTCCCCCTGTCACAGCTTGACATGCTTCTCTGCCTGCAGGCCCCCTTGGGCGTGGGGGGCTGGGTCCCCCGTCTCTGGTGGCCTCCCTGCTGGAGGCGTTCACGCTGGGATGCCTCTGGGAGGGGCTGTGTGGCGGCAGTGGTGCCCGGCGGGTGGGACCATGCAGCAGGTCCCGTCCAGGGCATGCCACCCAGCAGGAAGCCTGGACGGTGCACTGCCTGCCGTGGCAGAGACCCCTGTGCTTTTGCCCGCCTGGGCCAGCCTGCTGGGTGGCCCGCTCCTGCTTCCTGGCGGCCGCTTTTGCGGCACTGGGGTGGCCCGGCATGCGGCGGCCCCAGCAAGGCCAGTGCACCATCCGGTGCTCGGCAGAGCGGCTCCGTTGCCCCTTCCGTTTGACGGTGTGGCCTTATTCAGGTTGTGCCTTGCCAGCTGCCGCTTGTTTTGCTTGAACCCAGAGCCGCCTCCCGAGGGATAGTAAGCGTTGCTCTTCCACTGCAGGTAGCAAGCATTACTCTTCAGTTGGCTCTGCACACTACTGGGGGACATGGCCCCGCTCCTGGGTTTGCACCCGCAATCGTGCACCCACACGCTTGTCCCTAGGATGGGTGCCGGCCCATGGCAAGAGCCCCTGTCCTTCCCTGGCAGTTGCCGGTCTGGGAAACAGGTGCGGGAGAGAGCGCCCGCTCTGGCTGCAGCCTGCCAGCTCTCCTGCTCTGCACCATGTGTCCACCCCTGAGAGTCCCCACAAGGGCACGTGGCCCTCGGCAGAGGAGCAGATCTCCGGCCCGCCCTGGGGGACTCTTCACGGTGACGCTGGCGGAGCAGGCGAGCTGCGAGACCGGCAAGCGGCTTTCTCAGATGAAAGTCCAGACAGCTTTTCAGACTTTGTCTCTGCCGAGGGGATAGTCCTCATGGCATAGTAGAAAGGGAGAGCTGGAAGGGGCCCGAAGGCCATCGGGTCCACCCGCTGCTGCTACAGGACACCAGGTCACACCACCCCACTCAGGTGAAGGTCCGGTTGCTCCTTGAATGCCTCCAGCGTGGGAGAGCCCCCGCCTCTCCAGGCAGCCGGTCCCACTGCCGTATTGCTCTGGCCGTGAGGAAGCTTTTCCTGATGTCCTGGCTGAGTCTGGGTTGTTGTTAAGGTTTATTTATTGATTTTAAACTGACCAGGCTGTTTCCACTGTTTTATGTATTTTATTTATTCTATGTATTTTTTTTGTATTTATATGCGGGATTTTAATGAATGTAAGCCGCCCCGAGGCTTATGCGAAGGGGGCAGCATATAAGCTGTTTAAATAAATAAATTTGAATGGATCATTCTGTGTCCTGCACTGGGGCATCAGCGATAAGAGCTCTTGACCTTCCTCTTTGTGACAGCCTGTGAGATACTTCTATTGGGGTAGTTTCCAAGCACGCAGATGCTGGCGTGGACCCCATGTGGGCTTGGCCCAAGCCCCGCTTGTCCCTGGAAGCGGCCCAGCGGTGTTTCCCGGCCGGGCAGATCCTCCTTTGCTCAGCCGACACGAAGGAAGGAGGAGCGCTTTCGCACCCAGCAGCTCTCTTGCTCAGCCGAGTGCCGCTTCCATGGACTGGGTGAGGCGTGGAGATGCAGGCCAGGACGTGTCCCCGCGGGCTGCCCCATCCCCAGCAGAGACACCCCTGCCCCAGTGACTCTCCACTGTCCTTGCAGATCCGGGAGCTGGTCCCCGAGTCCCAGGCCTACATGGACCTCCTGGCTTTCGAGAGGAAGCTGGACCAGACCATCATGCGAAAGCGAGTGGACATCCAGGAAGCCCTGAAGAGGCCGATGAAGGTAGGAGTAGCAGCCCCGCTGGGCCGCAAGGGGAACAGGCGGCTGCTGGGACCGTCTGGGGGCTGCTGCTTCTGCAGGCGGCCCTTCCCTCCTCGAAACAGCCCCCTCCTCCTGACTCCACTCCGAAGTTGCTGCTTGATGCCATGCCCCAGAGGCACCTTCTCTTGGCATGTGTGGGCTGCCCTGTCTTCCCGAAGGGGCTTGCTTGGGATTTGATGTAGGGTCTTCCTGTTCATCAAGGCCAAGGGCAGGCCCCTCATTGAGACTAGGCTGCTTTAGAAGTACCTGATGCAGATGTTATTTTTCTGCTTTGTGGTTTATTTTGTCCTTTTAATGACTGCATTTTAGTTAATAATTAAGTTGTACTTGTTACTTGCTGATTTCTGTTCATTTCTGCCGCTGGTGAGTTTCCTGGTGGGGGGCTTTTGAGGCCATGGGCTGGACCATACATGTGGGAAATAAAATGCTGCGAACTCTGGTTGTAAAGGCCAAAGGATTGCTCAGCAACCTGGCCAAACGGTGAGCTCAGGCTTGGATGGGGCAAGAAAGTGCTTCTGGCCATGTGCAGATGCGTTTTCTGCCATCTTTTAGCATCAGAAAGCACAGCTGCTTGCGAGGTCTCTCTTCATCACTTCATTGCGGCTGTGGGCTTCCCCACACAGATGGCTGGCATTTGCCAAGTGGCAACAAAAGGCTGTGAGGTGCCCCTCTGTGAAGGGTGCCTGCAGGCCAAGAGCCGCTCTCTGATCTGCTTGGGTGTTATTTGTATACCACCTGACGGCTGACTCGAAGGGGGAATGGGATGATGCCCAAAAGGGAGCCGGGAGTCCAAGAAGTCTCCCTGCAAACGTCAGGGAGCCCACGCTGGCCAGGGCCCCGGATGCGACACACGCGGCTCCGGGCTTCTGGGCTGTGCTGCCAGGGCCTCGGAGCGGGAGGCCGGGAGGCTCTTCCGGCCGCCTGCAGCGTGGGTGGCTGCTGCCAGCCCTTCGGGAGGCTGGCCTGCCCAGCCAGGCGTGGGCCTGCCTCTCGGCCGTCCTGAACGGCAGGCAGCCCAGAGGCTGGCGTGGCCCCTTGGCCAGGGCTGCAGCTCCTGCCGGTCTCTGGAGGGCAGCCCCCGGGGCATGCCGGGGGCACTCGGCCAGGGCTGGGGGTGCCACGTGCAGTGGCAGGAGCCCCCTGGGCAGGCTCTGTTGGCTTTGCCCCGCCAGCTGCCTGGCTTAGACTGGCGTTTTCAACTGCCGGTCCCTGCACCAGCACCGCTCCGTGGGAGATTTCCTGCTGGTCTGGGGGTGGGGGCACATCCCGCTTGCACGGACCAGCATGGGGCTGGCCGTGCTCCACCTCTTCCTTCTCGGTTGGCTTTACACTCGCAGAGGGACGCCGGTGCCACCAGACAGGGGCGGGGAGGGGGGAGGTGGCTCGGTGGGAGCCAAGCTGGGCCGATTTTGGTATTTTGTTTTTTGTTGCTTGGTTTCTGGTTGCTTTGGAGAATTTTCTTTCTTTTTTGGTATGGTGTTTGGAAACAAATCCACAGAATGTATTATGTTTATGGTCCTTTTTGTTTCTGCTTCAGTGGTCCCTGAGGGGGCTTTCTTGTTTTCTACAGTCCCCAGCTGCGGAAAGGTTGAAAACCACTGGTTTAGACCCCCACCCCATTCCCCGCCCCTGACTTTAGACTGTCTGTCCAACAGCAAAAGCGGAAGTTACGCCTGTACATCTCCAACACTTTCAACCCAGCCAAATCAGATGCGGATGATTCGGAGGGCAGCATCGCCTCATGGGAGCTGCGCGTGGAGGGCAAGCTGCTTGACGATGTACGCCTGGCCGGCCTTCTCTGCCTCCTCTTGCCGGGGCTGGCCGCAGCTGCCTGGGGTGACGGCTGGCCAGGGCTGTGCCGAGCAGGCCTCTGCCAGGGCAGAAGTGGATCTGAGCGGGATGCGCAGGGTGGGCAGGCGGCCTTGGGGTGGCCTGCAGAGCTTGACTCTGCTTCCGCGGGAGCAGTTGGGTGGCCCATCTGCTCCCCACCGCCGGCTCCACGGGGGCAGCCTCGCTGGCTAATGGCTGGAGCAGAGCATCTGGAATGGGAGGGAGAGGCCCGTCTCATCGCCGGCTGTGAGGTTCCTCCTCCTAATTTCACAGCTCAGCAAGCAGAAGCGGAAGTTCTCCTCTTTTTTCAAGAGTTTGGTCATTGAGCTGGACAAGGATCTCTACGGGCCGGACAATCACCTGGTGGAGGTAAGTGGGGGCGACACCCGAGGCCAAAGCAACAAGCTCAGGAGCATCTTAAGATAAACATTAACTCATAGAGAAAAAGAGGAAAGAATAGACCATGAACTATACATTTAGGAGAGAGAGGAGGCAGGACGAAAAAAGAAAAGACCAAATTTGTATATTTTGGGCATGCTAGACTCCTAAGCGTGTGTTAGATTAATTAATGCCTTTTCATTCTAGAGTTATTATTTATTTATTTATTTATTTATAAGGCTTTTATGCCGCCCCATTCGCCAAAGCCAAATATTTGCCAATCCAATATTAGTGTAAGTTAATTTTTCCAGGAAGGATCTTCTGTTTCTTCTCTAGTGGCCCTGACCCATTGCCAGTAACGCTGTCAGCTGCTCAGACAGAACTTCCAGTCTCTTCCAAATAAATCTTCTAAAGTTTCCCCAAAGCCCAGTTTCCCCAAAGACCAACAGATGGCGCCAAATAGCACAATGGCAGATGACCAAATTAGAAAAAATATATATATCTGTCATTCTTCTCAGAGTGATCCTCCCTGTTTGCCATCATCCAGAAATAGGGCCATACAGAAATCACGCATCCGTTTTCAGGATGGCTTCCTCAGATCAGTTCTCAGCCAGCCCTTAAGGACAGCCGTGTCTTCTCAGACCACTCTGTCTCCCCGCACCAGCAAGCCCCAGGCATCACAAGCTGCTCAGATCAACAGCCACCTGCATCCAGTCCATCATCCTTAGCCTCCCAGTCCAGTCAGCAAATGACTTCACAGCTTTACCGCCCGATTAGGAGTTCGATGTGAAGCAGCTGGTCAGGCATGAGCTCCATTTGGGCAAGTAGAAGTTGTTTCAAAGTCCCGAAACAAAGATGCAGGTAAGGTCTGCAAGGCAACTTCGAAACAATTCCTTGTTTACCTCGTTTTGCCATCTTGATGGTCTCAGATTGGTCAGGTTTCTGGTCACCAGATCTTCATCTCAAAGGTGAAGTAAAATGAGGACTAGCCTCAGTGTTGCTTGCCAAAACAAACACCACTGGCAAAACAAGGTGGGAGTCCACACAACACCATCCCAACAAGCCACTCTCTTTCCTGTACCCCGATCCCACCTGCTCTTACGGGGCGAGATCGGCACCATGTGGGAGCACGTGCTGGAAGACTGCAGGGCCACGGCGTTGACTGCTCTAAACAGAAACAGCTCAGTTCCACATTTCCCACCGTTCACCCTGATCACCAGAACGATCCCCAGGACTGTCCTCGTAGCCCAGGGCACCTGAGGGAATGGTGGTTCATGAGACTCCTCCGGCTTTACCAGCAGAACTTCCTCCAGCTTCTGCATTCCCAGGACCTGATCTTGCAAGACCGGGGCCAAGTTCTTCACCACGGCAGCAGGACCTTGCACCTCACGGCCTGGCGAATCATACCCTGGAGCGCCAGGGAGGACCCCTACTGCCAGAAGTCAGGCCCATCTTAGACGCGGCGTGTAAGCTGCTTGCAGGAAGGCCCTGCCGAGAGAAGTGGGGGACCTTCGCGGCCTTTGCCTGCCAGGAAGGCTTTAACACGCAGCCGGCCGTGACCAAGCGCGTCCTGCGAGGCCACGTCAGGAAAGGACCGGCACCGCCTCCATTTTGGCGTAATTGGCAGCCACCTCCTCCTTTCACCCAACAGTCGGAGGAGCCTTGGCCTTTGTGCAGAGAGGGCCCAGAGGAGGACCACGGGGGGGATCAGGGGCTGGAGGCGAAGCCCTGGGAGGCAAGATTGCGGAACTGGGCACGTGCAGCCTCAGGGAGAGGAGGTTCGGAGGGGCTGTGCGAGCCTCCACGAGGACCTCCGAGGCCGCCCCAGAGAGGGAGCACGAGGTCTCTTCTCATTCCTTCCGGAGTGTGGGAATAATGACTCAAGTTCCAAGAAACCAGGTTCAGACCGGACGCCAGGAGGAATGTCCTGACAACCAGAGCAGCACTGCAACAGAGCCTGTGACCTGGGGAGCTGGTGGCTCCTCCTCGCTGGAGACGTCCAGGGAGCGTCTGGACAGCCCTCTGAGTGGCTAATAACTAAATATGTTGTTCTTTGTGCAAAAGTATGTGAAGCCTGCAAGTCACTTGTGCAAACCAGAACTCCTCTTGGGCTCACTTGCTGGATGCCCACGCAAATACTATAGATTAAGGGACGGACGGGAGAATGTTGGCTTAGTTCTAGAGCTGGGGAAGTCTGACGGATTCCCACGGCAAGACCTCATTCCTCACACATTCCTATTGATAGCACACTGGCAATGATTCGCTATGTCGCAGTGCCCCCTGCAGGCTTTTTGTCTTTGGTTTATGGGATGGTTTGACAGCGGCCCATTAGCATCGTGCTCTCTTGGAACTTGAATCTCCGTCAGCTGGCAATCAAAAGCGATGCAGCCGGTTCATAACCACTTCACAGACTTGTGTAGCAAAGTTCTTGGTGTCCAGACAAGTCTGTCTTGCTGCTCGCCCAAGTGCCCGGCCCCCATGGAGGCACCCCATCCCTCTCGCCCCTCCTGTCCCTCTGCCACCTGCAGGCAGCATCTGCTTCCGTGGGAGGCAGCTCCACCGTTCTTCATGGACCTGCTTTCAGATGGACACGGATGGGCTTGTGATGTGGGAGGACTGAAATCCCTGGCCTCTTTCAGCCGTCGGGCTCGCTGGGGTGCTCTGGAAGATGTTCCTGTTCCCCACGCCATCTGCTGGGGGACAGAGGCGGAGCAGGCAGGCCTCTGCCCTGCCCCTAGACTCTTCCCTTGTGACCCTGGCCCAAATGGCTGCCAGAAGGCACAGGCCTCGTGCACATCCCGGTAATTCCTTCACGCCCACCGCCGTTTTGTTGCTCGCACAAAGAGCTGGAACTGCAGAGGAGAAGGCAGAGTCTCCTGAATTAGAAATTGGGGTGGTGGGCCGGGTTGTTGTGTGGGAGGGGCTTGGCGTGGCTAGTGATGGACTTGGTGGTAGCCCCCTCACCACTCAGCCTGCAGGCGGGGCAGGGCCTCTGTGAAATCCAGGAGAGTGGCGTCCCCAAGGCTGTGGCCCCCGGATCGATGAGCAAGAAAAAGCTGCCCAAGGCTGCCTCTGCTGGGCCCCCCCTCGGGGGGGGGCGGGCGCTGAGCAGCTCCACTTGCGCTTGTCTCTGGCAGTGGCACAGGACCCCCACCACCCAGGAGACAGATGGCTTCCAGGTGAAGAGGCCAGGCGACGTCAGCGTGCGATGCACCCTCCTGCTCATGCTGGATTACCAGGTCAGAGATGCTGGTGGCTGGTCCTGGCGAGCGTGCCGGCCTCGTGAGGGCATGGGGTCCCTCCGAGCACTGCCGCCTCCTGCGGCCGCCCAGGGTGGGAGCGGGGGTGGGGAGCACCCAGGCGGAGGCTGGGGGAGAGGCCGTGGCGGGATCGTACGGCGGAGTGGGAGGCCCGCATCTGACAAGGTTCAGGGCGGCCTCTGAGTGGAAGCTCTTCCCCAGGCAGCCATCAGGGGTGCAGAGGGCAGGGGATATCCAGCCTCCTGGCGGCCGTCCTTTTAGGCCTTGTCCTGAGCCTCTGCCAGAGGAGGGCTGACGGCGGCCCCTCGCCTTGTGCCCGTGGCGGCACCCTGCTGGAAAGGACACCGGGTGCCTGGAGGAGAGGAGGCAGCCCGTCCTTGCCCTGCGGTGCCCGGAGGGCCACTTCGCGAAGCTGAGCGGGCCCAGCCACTGGGCCCTGCACACGGGGCTCCTGCAGGGCCCGCTGCCCATCGGCCCCCCGAGGCGAGGAGGCCCGGGCCCGCGCCAGGGACTTGGAGGGCCTCGCCTCCGGGGCCGTCTTTGGCACTCTGACTTGGCTCTGCTCCGATCGTGCTGCTGTACTTTTTAATTGCAGTTTTTCCTTTGAATGATGTTGAGTGGTGTAAGCGACTTTGGACACAAGTGCTGGGAAAACGAGGCATTAATGTTACTGCCTGACCAAATGAACAGCCCCGAACCTGTCAGTGATCCTCTGTCGCCAGCACCTCTCCCCAGGAGGCTGCAGGGGAGCAGGGTGGCTGGGCTGAGAGGGAGGCTGCGGCGGTGTGGCGCTGGGGCGCTGGCTGCAGCCCGTGCACTGCCAGGATGGCCCCCTGGCTGGCTCACGGTGAGCCGTGTGCAGGGGCAGGAGTGAGGGGCCGGGAGCAGCCACAGGCCTCGCCCTGGGGTCCTCCGTGGGCCCTTGGCTGCTGCTCTGTGGCTGCCGCTGCGGCAAAGCTCCTCCTCCCACCTTCGCCGAGCTCCGGGCTCCCCTGCAGAGCGGGGGGCTTCCTCTGGCCAGTTGGATCCCAGGCGAGGTGCCGCTCGCTGGCCCCCGGCCCTGGCCGAGGGCCCGGTTCCCAGCGCAGCAGAGCCAGGCCAGCCCCACGCCTGAGGCCATTGCTCGCTCGCTCTCTCCCTGCCGCAGCCCCCCCAATTCAAGCTCGACCCTCGCCTGGCTCGGCTGCTGGGCATCCACACACAGACACGCTCGGCCATTATCCAGGCGCTCTGGCAGTACATCAAGACGAACAAGCTGCAGGACTCCCACGACAAGGAGTACATCAACTGCGACAAGTATTTTCAACAGGTCAGTGCGGCTGCCGGCCACCCGGGGGCAGCACTGCCTTGCCAGCCGGCCTGGCCACGCTGTGGGCTGCAGCCTCCCACCTGGCAGCGGCCACCAGTCGCCTCGGCATACTGGGGACGACTGGGCGGGGAGAGGAGGCCCGAGGCAAAGCAGGCTCGTTGTGGACCAAAACGGTCCTCTGGCACCGCGCACACATGCCGGGGTGGAGTGCGTGGGAGTGAGGGGGCCCACAAGCACACACACTCCTGGGGAGCCCCCCCCACACGCCCCCAGCCCCTGCGCTTCCCCGGGCATCCCTGAAGAGGCTACAGAAAGACTTTCTCGCGCCCACGTTTCCTAGCGGTGCCCTCTTTCCCCGGCGGTGAGGAATGCTGTGGTGCGAGGAGCGGGGCCACTCTGCCAAGCCGAAAGGCCGGCTTGTGTTGGGCAGCCCCTCGGCCCCGCTCGCGCCCTCGGTCTGGGGAGCCCGCCGCAACTTCCTTTCCCACCAGCCCCCACTTGCTGCTCTGCGGTCCCTCGCTGGATCATCTGGGAGAGTCCCGCCATCTCCCACTCACCCCTTTGTTTCTGAGAAGTGGGGGGGTCGCTGTGCTCTCCTGGGGGGGGCAGCCTGCTGAAGTCCTGGGGAGGCTTTCTAACGGTTGGCTCCCGCTGATGCCAAGGCACTGCTCTGCTTTGCTGTTTCAGATCTTTGACTGCCCACGACTAAAGTTTTCCGAGATCCCCCAGAGGCTCACAAACCTGCTGCTCCCACCGGACCCCATTGTCATCAACCATATCATCAGGTCAGGCGGCGGCCGCTCCTGCTTTGCCCCTTGCCAGGAGCAGACCCAGAAAGCTCCCCCACCTCGGGAAGGGGCGCCTCCTGCCCACGGAGGCCTGGAGCAGCCCTTGACTGGGCGGCGGGAGCTGGTGGCCCTCTGGCATGGCCTGCCCGAGCTGGGCGCCACCGGCCAGGCGTTCGCTCTGTCCCGGCTCTCGCCTTGGTGCTCTTCGCCCTTTCAGGCCCACTCGAGCATTTCTCAAGGAGCACAACCCGAAGGATGCTTTCTCACCCCGTGGGGCAAAGGGGAAGAAGAGCCCGCAGGCCGCGTGTCCTGGGGGAGCCATGCCAGCTCAGTGTGGGGGGGGGGGCGGGCAGAGTCCTCCTGTGTCCCTGAAGCCAAGCAGAGCATTCTCTGGAAGGGCCGCCCCCGCTTTGCATGTGGAAGGCCGGCAACAGCTCCCGGTGGGGCGGGGGGGGGGTCTCCGCTGGATGCCTGCGGGCAGAGCCACTGCTGACAGTCAGGACCACAGGCCGTGGAGGAGCCCCCCGTGGGGTGCGTGGAGGGCAGCTTCTTCCCCCAGCCGGCAGCGTGCAGCCAGCCTGTGAAGGCTCCTTCCTCTCCCCCGCAGCGTGGACCCCAATGACCAGAAGAAGACGGCCTGCTATGACATCGATGTCGAGGTGGAGGACCCCCTGAAGGGCCAGATGAGCAGCTTCCTCCTCTCCACAGCAAATCAGCAGGAGATCACTGCCCTGGATAACAAGGTGTGGCTGAGGCGGGGGCGGGAGCAGCCCCCCCCCGAGCGCAGGGGCCACTCATGCAGTGGGGCAGGGGCGGGAGGGGCTTGGATAGGATGCTCTCAGCAGGGGCGGGTGTTGCAGAGAACTGTTTCTGCACCGAATTCTGCAGGCTTGTTCGGGACATGCGCCCCCGCCCCCCCCGCGCAGAACGAGCAACAACGTTCTGCACTGTGTGAGTAAACTCGCCCAGTCCACCGTTTCCACACCACACCTTGTGCCAGAGCCCAGCAGGGTCTTCCTGCGTGGCGTGGGAGGAAATCCAGCCTGGGCGGCCAGGGGTCCTCCGGCCACTCACCGCAAGATGGGGAGCCTCTGGAGGCAGCATGTGGTTACTGGCTCCCCAGCCCTGGCCTGCTTGTGGGCTTCCCGTCGGGCCCCTTGGGTAGGAAGCAGCGAGCAGGGTGCTCCGCTGTGGCCCGGTCCAGTGCTGCGCTTCTCGAGCTCCGGGTGCAAGAGCACCTGTGTAGGAAGGTGGGCGAAGAGCGGGGCCCAGCTGGCCAGTGGGGGAGCTCCTTGGCCCCGTCCGGCCACCGCTGTGACCAAGCGCAGCCGTGCTGGGCAGCCTGGCCTCGGGCGTGCCTTCTGTGCCCCTCGCTCGGCTCAGTGACGTGGGGTTTGTGCCACGGCTGGTTCTGCAGCAAGGGGGCACGCAGTCCCGCTGCTCAAAGGCTCCAGTAAATGTTTCTGAGAAGGCCCAACCCCAAGACAGGGGAAAATAAATCAATGAACCATTTCAATGAAATTCCATTTCTACCCTTTGAGTGTTAAAGGCTAAGGAAAGACTCAAAGACAGTCATAATTAGAATACATCTGGGTAGCTAAGTGCCTTTACTGTGAATTTAACAGTTCATGCCACACTACTAAAGGTGGCTGGGCGAATGAGTATTTTGCAGGAGCATGTCCTGACTCCATTCATCTTCTCATCCTGCTACGCTGCCCATTTTAAGCCTTCTTTAAGCTGAAGCATGAAAGGCAACCAGAATAAGGGAAGGTCTGAGCTGCCCAGAGGGCTTTGGCCGTTGGGCAGTGTGCGCGCTCAGGAGGCAGGCAGGCAGATGGTGGGCTGGCGAGTGTGAGCATGCGCACGTGGGGGCCACGCATGCCCCTTGTTGACCGGGGCCACCCACTTCTCCCAGCTGGGGCGATGCTCACTCGTGCAGAATGCCACGAAGAGGGCGGGTGTGTTCTTGGGGTTGTTTGCTTGTTTGTTTGTTCATTCAAAACTTTTCTATCCTGTCCGCCACTGAGGTCTCGGGTCTTACAATAAACAGGGTGGAGCTCGGCATCCAAATGAGTTGCCATGTAATAAAACCCCACATTAAAATCACAGTCAAACCTTGAAATATTGGGAAAATAAAAAGGTTTCAGCCTGGCGCCGAAAGAAATAAAGCAGTGGCTCCCAGCAAACCTCTCTGGGGAGCGTGTCCCATAATTGGGGCACCACCGCAGAGAAGGCCCCTCTCTGGGTAGCCACCCTCCTAATCTCCTTCAAGGAGGGCTCCCAGAGCAGGGTCTCCGCCCCAAATCTTAAGGGGCAGGCAGGCATATGGGGAAGGAGACTTTCCTTCAGGTTTCCAGGCCCTACGCCTCTTAGAGCTTTATAGGTCATCCCCTTCACCTTAAATTTGGCCTGGACTTCAACTGGCAGCCGGTGCAGATGGAAAAAGACCAGCGTTATATGTGCATCCAGTCCCTGTTAACGTCCTGGGATCTGTTCTAGCTGAGAGCACCTGAGGAGCAGCCCTGCAGCTCATAGCCAGGCCAAAAGGGTGCCCCTTGGCCTGCTGCACTAGCGCAGCCTGCCTCCTCCTGAGCTAGCCCCAGTCCCTGCCCCACGCCCAGGGCAGGGCTGCTGCCGCCGCCTTGGTGCAGCCGCCTCTGGAGCAGCATCTTCTGGGGCTTATGGCTCTGGAGCGCCTGCACTTGCAAGCTGCCCTCTCTGGACAACAGTTAGGTGATGTTCAAGACCGGAACAAGCTGAGCACCCCTGCACCCTGCTCTCCCTCGGATTCCATGATGCTGCTGCCTGCAGAGGGCAGAGGAGGCGTTGGGCCAGGCAGCCGAGCACACGAGCCTCGCTGACCGGTGTAGTGCAGGGAAGGAGATAAGGGCTCGCTTCCCAGTTAGACCCGGAGGCCCCCTCCTTCCGGCTGTGGCCACGGAGGGAGGCTGCGCCCACCACTGGTGTAACGAGGCCAGGTTGAGGTGGGAGAGCCACACAAGCCAGGTGAGAGAGAGCTGGAGGAATCTGTGCAAGTCGCTTCTTTTTCTGCCTTGTTCCATGTCCAGATTCATGAGACAATTGAGTCCATCAACCAGTTAAAGATACAGCGAGATTTCATGCTGAGCTTCTCCAAAGACCCCAAAGGCTACATTCAGGACCTTCTCCGGTCCCAGAGCCGGGATCTCAAGGTAGGGCTGCTGCTGGCCGGGAGATGCATGCAAATCGCAGGGGCTGCTGGAAGTGGAATGAGCGTGTGGTGGTGGCGGAGGGCAAGTCCTTGTCTTATGTATTTACTTCCACTTCTGTGCTGCCCTATAACCTGAAGGTCCACTGGGTGGCTTACGGATGCTAGAACAGCACACAATATGGTAATAAAACAGTTAATAAAACAGATAAAACAATAAAATAATAGATAAACCATCTCATGATAAAATATGATCACACAAAACATGATACATACAGCCAATAGATGAACAACCAAAAATTAAATAAGTAATCTATAACAAAATATATATGTATAAATTAAATTAAAGCCTTTTTAAATAAAAAAGTTTTCACCTGGCACCTAAAAGAAAGAAGAGTATATCCCTGGAGACTGAGTTCCAAAATCTAGGCACTGCTGCTGAAAATGCCCTTCCACTAGCCCAGGGGCCGGCAACCTTGAACCCTCAGAGAGCCATTTGGACCTGTTTCCCACAGAAAAGAAAACACCAGGAGCCGCAAAACCCTTTTGACATCTAAAATGAAGATAACACTGCATATATCGGTTTTTACCTTAATGCTATGTATATCTTCATTATGATTTAGCTGCAGCTCTTGTTCAGTCACTAAAATCTGTTATTTTTAATCTTACATTATACACTAGTAGGACTCCTTTCATATATTTTGAATAGGAGAACAGCTTCCTGAAGAGTCAAAGTCAGTCCTAAAGGGCTGCATGCATTAAACAGCAAACCCCATACGTTTGTCAGCAGTAAAAGCAAATGAATCTACCCACATACCGTTAAACGTTTGGTTTTCTTCAGAAACTTTTCTTTGATTTATCCATGGTTGGCCTACGCTGGGGGGGGGGGTGTCCACAGATCAGCGGCTGCTGTGCCAGAGATATAGGTGTGTTTAGTGACTGATTAGCAGATAAACAGTCAAGTGCCGTGAATTGTGACAGGTCCCAAGTGCAGCTTTTAACATTCAGAGGAAGGAGATTACATGTCAGCAACATTTCGTTTTGCACAATGTGAGAGCCTGCAGGAAGCTTGTTAGCAGAGGAGTGTAGCGATTTACTCGACTAGCTGATTTCCTTAACCAGCTAACTCCGCGTTCCTGAGTGGAGCTTCGAGCAGCTGTGTTTTGAGCAACGGAGCCACAGCAGAGGGGCTCAAGAGCCACGTGTGACGCTGGAGCCGTGGGTTGCCGCCCCCTGCCCTAGCCCTTTCCCCCTTGATCTCACCAGGGGAGGGTATCCAGAGGAGTCCCGAAGAGTAGGAATGGCTAGGAATACATGGCGAGAGGTGCTCCCTCAGGTGCCCTGGCCCCAAGCTGTTAGGGCTTTCAGTGTCAAAGGGAACCCTAACTGGGCCCGGACTGGAAGAGGGAGCCAATGCGGCTGGCGGTGGGCTGCCGTAATGCATTCTTGCCAGCCAGTCCTGGCAAGCAGCCTCGCCACTCTGTGCTGTGTCAGTTGCAACGTCCAGGCTGTTTGCAAAGGTAGCCCCATGCAGAGTCCAGGAGTCCAGGCAAGAGGTTAGCAGTGCATGGGCCACTGCGACAAGGCTCCACTCATGCAAGTAGGAACGTTGCTGAGAAATCAGCCCAGGATGATGGAGGTTGCTTCTGGCCACTGAGTCCACGTGAGAAACAGGGGGAGCTCAGAGTCGGGGAGTGCCCCTGAGCTAAGAACCTTCTCCTTTAGGGAGAGTGCAACCCCATCCAGGATAGCCCGAAAATGCCCTAGTTGGACTGCAGGCGTGCCCACCAAAAGGCCACCATCTCGTCTGGATTCAGCTCCAGTTTATTGACCCTCGTCCAGCCCATTACTGAGTTCAGGCACTGGTCCAGGACAGCTGCTGCCTCACCTGGGTCAGAAGAAAAAGTGAGGTAGAGCTGGGTGTCGTCAGCATGCTGAGGACGCCTTAGTCCACCCCTCTGGATGACTTCCCTGAGCAGCTTTATGTAGATGTTGAAAAGCATGGGGGATAGAATAGAACCTTGAGGAACCCCGTGGCACAGTTGCCACGGAGCAGAGTGACAGGCCCCAGCACCACTGTCTGGAACCGGGCAGCCACGCAGGAGCGGTACCACTGCAGAGCAGTGCCCCGACTCCCAACCCGGCCGGCTGTTCCAGAAGGATACCGTGGTTGATACTGCTGAAAGTTGCTGAGGTCCGAGAATCAGCAAGGCCACCCTCCCCCCGTCGCTCTCCCAGCAAAGGTCATTCCACAGGGCGACCAAGGCAGTCTTGTCCTGAACCCAGGACGGACAAACCCCATTGACATGGGTCTGGGTAGTCGCTTCCCCCAAAGGTGCCTGCAGCTGCTGGCCCACCACACGCTCTGTCACCTTGCCCAGGAAGGGGGCATTGGCTGTTGGTGTGAAATGGTTCCCTGGGTCCAGGCCTGGCTTTGTGCTGTTTCACAGCCACCTTTGGTCAGTGGACCGTAAGAGAAAGGGGACGACAGCTGGGCTGAACTGGTTGCCCAGTAACTGATCTGTCTATCTCTTGAATGGGACAGTAAGGAAATAATGTTCAATTCCTGCTGCAAACTTGAGGTGACCTAATTTGGAGGGGGATTAGAAAAGCCCCTTCAATGACAGCTCCCCTTGTTCAGAAAGGGGCCCTTTCCACAGCCCCTGGCAGACTGTTCCCACAAGAGGAGCATCAGTGCGGCTTCTCACGGCCCTGACACGCTGCCTTCTTCGCCTGGCAGGTGATGACCGATGTGGCGGGGAATCCCGAGGAGGAGCGGAGAGCCGAGTTCTACCACGAGCCTTGGTCCCAAGAGGCAGTGAGCCGGTACTTCTACTGCAAGGTAAGGCATGGGGGCGGGGGAGCGCTGGGCTGCCCGGCGATCCCACACCCCGCAGCCCACACGGAGCGGCTGCGGCCCGGCCACGATCCCCTTTGCTCTTCCAGATCCAGCAGCGCCGGCAAGAGCTGGAGCAGTCTCTGGGCGTGCGCAACACATAAAGGACTGACTCACAGCCAGGCGGACACTTTGCCCCTTCGCCAGCTGGCGGGCGTCTCCGAGTGACACGGCTCCTGCCTCATCGAGCACAGACCGATTCATGACCGGCCAGGGGCTTTCGCTGCAGCAGCAGCAGCCTCGCCCTCTTCAGAGTGTGTTTTGCCCCTGGGGCTGCCTTCCTCTTCCTCTTCTTCCTCCTCAGCCCCTGCTAAGCCTAGAGGTGAGGGGCTTTGGTGCCATCACTCACTCCCGGCAGCAGCTGCTGGGACAGGGTGCCTGCACTTGCCGCACGCAGACCCCCTGGGAGGCACACCGGGCGGGCACAAGCCTGGCCAGGCGGTTCGCCAGAGCCCTTTCCGCAGGGCGATGGACGAATGGCGCCCTGCCTGGCTGGCACCGTGCCCCGTGCACCTTCGCTGGGCCTGCTGTGGCCAAGTGCCTGCAGCCCCGAGAGCCTGGGTCAGTGGAGGCTGCAGAGGAAGCCCCAGCTCAGGCCAGGCACACTTGCCTCGTGGCCACGCGGAGGCAGCCGCCTGCGCAGCCGCACCGCCTTGGGCAGAGCAAGAGGGCCTGGGTGACGGGCAGTGAGCGTGCCACCCAACTAACGCTCCCTGCCTGTTCCCGGGGCGAGGCCCCTCCCCTTCTCACGGGAGAGGAGAGGAGGGGCAGGACTTCCAGCCATTCCCCTGCAAGTGTGCCCCCAAAGCCCCTTCGGTGGCTGAGCCAAAGGAGGCCCCCCATGGCCTCCGTCTGCGCGAGTGCGGGGCAGGCTGCCGCTGACCGGGCCAGTTCTCCAGCAGTGGGGCTGCCCCATGACGCAAGTGCCAGAGGGAGGCTCATTTTGTGGGGAGACTCCAGAGCTGATGGTGACCATGCCTGTCCCTGCCCAGTATCTCCCAGCCAGCCGCTGCGCCTGGGGCCTCGGCTCAGCTGGGGAGTGGCGCCTCCTCCTGCTGCCTGGGACCCGCCGGAGCCAGCCTCGGCCCGGCGAGGGTGTCGCAGAGGGGTGCCTCGGCCCCTCGCTGGCCGTTCTGCCTCTGAGCAGGTGCCGCCTCACCTCCCAAGGAGCTGGAGTGGAGCAGCAAGGCCAGAACCTCTGGGAAGCCGTCCCAGCTATGCTGCCTGCAGAGGGTGGCCCTCCCGGGGTTCCTTGCCCAGGCCTGTTCCTGGAATGGGCAGGTGCTTCCCTGCGAGGGGAGGGCCTGCCTCTCCAGGGCCAGCTTGGTTGCTTGCTTGCTCCAGAAAGCCAGGCGGGGCATGGGAGGGCTCAGCAGCAGCCCTGCCAGGGCCCTGGCCGCTCGCAGCAGCACACGCCGTCTGCCGCTGCCCCTTCCTCCTGCCATGTTTGCACAGCTGCCGCCACTCTGCTGGGAGCGGGAGCGGGAGCGGGGCCTTGCCGGGAGGGGCTGGCTGCTCTGCAAATGCATGCACACCACGGGGATGCTGCCCTGCTCGTGCCGTGCCCTGTTGGCCTGGGAAGGAGCTTCCCCTCTGTGGCCTGGCTGTGTATCCTTTCCGGGCGAGTCCGTTCTAGCTCTAGCTCAGCAGCTTCTGCTCCTGGAGAAACTGCAGCCGAGGCCAGGGCGGTCCCGGAGCTCCACTCCCCGCGTGCCTGTGGGGCTGCCAGCCATGAGCCAGCTCGGCTGTGGATCCATGCCTGGCCTCACCCAGTGAGCAAAGGGGCAGCACTGGAAGATGCATTTCACAGGTGGGAGGGCCAAAGCTCATTCGCAGCAGGAGCCTGCCCGCCCGGCCTGCGGATACACGCATGTGTGCCCGAGAGTCTTGCCCAGGGCTTCCACAGGGATGGGCCCGACAAGGGATGGCAGAATGCAGTCGCGGAGCACAGGCCGGGCATGCAGAATGCCCCAGGGCTGGGAAAGACCCGAGTGTGAGGCCCCCAAGAGCCATTGCTGGCAGTCAGTGCTGGGGGCAGAAGCAGGCCTGGCCTGGCCTGGCCGAGGCAGCCTGCCTCCCTTGCTCCTGGGATCGTCAGACGAGCAGGACTGACTGGCTCCCTCTTACAAGCGTGATCGTTGTCGTCTCCAACAGCCTCCCTAGGACCAGAGCCACAAGGAAGAGGCCGTTCCTGCGTGGGCTGCGGGGCTGGAGCAAGGCTTGGAACTGAGCCACTCTCTGTGCGGCTAGCGCTTTTGGAAGTCTACAGAGGAGGGTCCCCCTCTGCATGGCCAAAGAAAGCTGGGCATGCGATGTTGGCTCAGAGTCCAGGCTGAGTTTTGCCCCATCCCGGAGTGACGGAGGCCTGATGCGGCTGCAGATGACGAGGACGGCTCAGCTGGGCCTGCCCATCGCTCAGGAGGGAGTGCAGCCCCCATCCCCTCCTGAGTGGCAGGTGCGGGGGTCCTTGGGGCACAGCTGCAGCTGCCTTGCTCAGCCTGCTGCCTGCAGAGGTTCTCCTGGCGGGTTTTCCGGAGCACCTCGGAGGGGGCCGATTCCAGCAGGCTGTGCCAAAGCTTGAGGGGTTTGTGCATTCTGTGGCCCCGGACCGTCTGTCAGCCCCAGAAGAGGAAACCTCTTTAGGTCATCCTCTGTCCTGTCCTTGGGTAAATCTGTTGGGAAAGGTCTGTTGGAGTATCTGGGCAGGATATTTGGGATCCGAGAGGCAGGGATCAAGGCGAGGCTGGCCAGGGGTCATGCAGTCTCAGCCTGGTCCTTTCTCCACAAGGATACGTGCCTCTTCAGGAGCAAGGAGATCTGAAAGCAAGGTCAGCCTGGATGCCCCCAGGGCAGCCAGAACAGGTGCGAATTCACAGGCCCCGACTCACTGCCCCTTGTGCCCCAGGTCCCTGGAGACCTGGAGGAGACAAGCTGCCACAAGCACCGCTCTGCCTTCACTGCCGAGAGGCTGCACAGAGGGACAGAGGGTAGGCACAGTGAACGGCCGGGTCTGGAGCTGCTGGCTGGGAGAGGCCACTGCTGTGGCCGATGCAAGGACACACACACTCCGGTGGCTCCAAAGCCGGCAGGTCCACATTTGCCTCTGCCCACAGGTGCCACTGGGTGACCAGGACTGGCACTTCTGTGCTGGGGCAGAAGAGTGGCATTTCGCAGGCTGGAAGGGAGGGGCCTGGCAGCCCTGCCCTGCCCAGCCCACCCACATCCGCCCCCAGGTGGCTCCTGGGCCTGAAGGCAAGAGGCATACAGTCTTTTGCAGGTGGGCTGGGCCCTGGCAGGAGCTCTGCCCGCCTCCCTGGAAGCCGCTTGCAGGGGCAGACGGCACTCGAGAAGACAACGCCGGAGAAGCTGCAGGCTCGCTCTTGCTCTGCTGCACCCCACCTGTCCGCCCCAGGCCCACTAGAGTCATTGCATGTGTGGGGCTGTAGCCAAATGTCCTGGGGAGGGGGGGGAGGGAGGGCACACAGGTTCTGCTACCAGGGAAAAGTCATTTTTGTAACTGCTGTGTGGTTTCCAGTTTCAGTGTCTGTTTTCACGTGTTGTTGGCAGCTGCATTGCCTGCAATCCTCTCTAGGACCAGCACCCACCTGGCTCCTGCAGGGAAGGGGAGCTCGGAGAGGACGGCACAAACCCCATCGTCTCCCTGGTGGTTGCCATGTCTTTATTGTATGGTGCAGAGTGATTCGTAGACAAGCTTTTAAATAATAAATACTTTGATTATTTGTATCCATTGCAGATAAGCTGAGTACCTCATTTAGCCTTGGCATGCTGGGCTCCCTCATGCCCCATGCGAACACGGCATCCGTGGGCGCCTGGCACAGCTTGGCAGCCTCTGGGGGAAAAGTAAACCAGGACGGGCTGCCATGCCGTGGACAAGTCCTCCCTTCCTCACCTGCGCCCTCACCTGCCTTACGGTGGGGACGGCCCAGAGAGCTCCTGCTGTTGGGCAGCAAAAAGTGAGGTCAATAAAGTCATGCTTCTGCAGCTGCACTATCCACCCCCTCGCTAGTTATTAAAGGAGCTTTAGTCTTAAAACCCCGGCATTCGTTCTTCGTTGGTGGGGTGGCCAGTCATGTGATTGGATACTTCTAATTTGGTTCAGACGAAAAGTATTGCAACGTCCCACCACGCCTGTTTTCTTATGCACTGTGCAGTGCTGGAAGACGCCAAGTGCCTCGCTGACCTTCTGGCGAGCTGCATCTCGTTGGACTGAACAAGTTCACTGTCTTTGATACGTAGAAGGAATCCTTTTGGCGCATGCCGTTTTTGGACAAGCCAAATCCCCTTGTTTTCTTGCAGTTCCTCCACTAGCTCGTGGCGGCAGGGTGAACGCCGATGGCCCTCTGTTCATCTGATGCTCCAGATTTTGCTTCTCTTGGGAGCAGGAGGCCGGGGGGGGGGGGGCAGGAGGGGCTGATCAGCTTCCCCTTCTCCCCACTGCACTTCGGTGTGTGAGCTCCGCTTGTGCTGCTGGATGCTCTGGCAGCCGCCGTGAGCCAAAATTGGCCCGTGGTCACAACCGACAAAGGGAGCAGCCTCACCGCTCCTGGTAGTGTCCCCTGGGAGACTAATAGGGTGAGGGTTTTTGCAGTCTTCCTGAGACTTCCATCCGTCAAGCATCACTGCCAGTGTGCCATGAAACAGCAGTTTGTCCACAGGAGGCGCCCCCCCCCCCCGCTGGGTCCTGCAGAATCACATTGCGGCACCTGCCCCAAGAGGCTTCTATTCACACATGCTCGCTTGTTGTCATTCCTGGTTTTTAAGGGAGCCCCATGTGGTCGCAGGCGCTCAGAGGCCTTCATCTCGATACACTTTCTGGTAAAACAAGGTATCGTAGGTTGCGGGAAAGAGAAGCGCGCTCTGTGATCCTGAGCCGCAATGCTGTGTGGGGTGGGGGTGGGGGGGGTCCTAGCCACGGGCACAGAAGAGGCTGCATCTGCTGGTGGAACTGTGTCGCTGACCCTGCTGCTGGCTTCTGGGTGTGCGTGTGGAAATAGCTCCTTTGAAAGGGCTTCAGCTAAAAGATCCCAGAAGGAGCCCGAATGAGTGAGTCGCCGTGGCTGTTGCACGCATCAGATAATACTTTATGTTCTGAGGCAAAGAATCGATGGTGGATCCTCATTGCCAAAAGCATTAAATAGCTCAGGTCTAGCTCATGCCCTGACCACATTCCTGAGCTGACAAAGGGCAGAAATAACAATAACACGATAGTCCCTGCATTAGCAAAGCTGGAGATTGATTTTAGGTGGTTTATTAGGTTAAAAGAACCAACTGAAGCCAAACTGCATCGTATTACCTAGTGGTCAGAGGGCATGGAAACCTCAGAACAGGAAGTCTCTCTTCAGGTGGTAGAAATCCTCCTCTCATGGAAGAGTCTGCCCTGGCGGACTGACGGGGGTGCTTCTCAACTGGTCACCCAAGAGACAGCTGCCAAGCTCAGGAAGCCCAGGATGCCGAAGGGAAGTGCCTGCGGCCCCGCTCCTAGGGAAGGGAAGGGAAGGGAAGGGAAGGGAAGGGAAAGGAGAAGGCTGGTGTTGCTCTGGCCAGAAGAGGCGCTTCCCAGGAGCTCCTTTGCTGAATGCGACACAGAGGCAAAACTGGCCAATTGTGGCTCTGCTAGCAGTGCAGCATTGCATCTAGAAGACATTCTCCAGATGCGACTTGCGTACACTTACCAGCTGTGTAACACTGAACTTTGCATTTGTGGACACCTTAGATGCTCTGTTCTGACCAAAATTTAACCTAGCCTGGTCTCGGGTGGCTTCTGGGGCTACCCATTCAAAGGCATTATGGAGCTGTGCCGCTCCTGACCTCAAAAGATGCTTTGTGATCATCAGTGATGTGGGTTTTCCACAACAGTTTGAACTAGAAAAACCTTCCAATACAAATTGGGTTAATTTGTATAGGCTCATCTGACTAAAAGTCATGCTGTCCTGGAGCAGGAGTGGGCCGCTTGTGGCCTCTCAGATCCGGCCGATGCCGAAAGGCAGTGTAGTGGCAGAGATGCAGGCTTCTTCGCGGCCCTCGCCACCAGGGAGGAAGTTTCCAGCCAGACGCCACTTGCTTCCCCCAGCAGCGCTGCAGCCGTCACCCACCTTGTTCCATTGCCCGTAGTCTCCTGCCAAACCAGGCAGCCGACACGGCGCCACTGTGGGCCGGTGCTCAGCAGCTATGCTATGAGCCTCCAGTCCATTCTGGTACTACACAGACCTGTCAGGACTGCAGCATCGTCACAGGCAGGCATGCAGGAAACTCCTCAACTCCGTGCATGGGACCGGTCCAGTCCTTCAGCTGCTTGGGCCGGCTGTTTTACATGGTCCACAGCCCATGCGGAGTTTAAGCCGGGGGTGTCGTACAACTAACTGGATAGTGATCTGTGCATGGCAGTGTCACCATCTTCAGCACACCAGAGTTGGGAGCGTGTCCTGCCACATATGTGAGGCCAGAGAAACAAACCAGTTGCCCAAGGCTGACCTGGAGATCACGTCATCCTGAGCCGCTCCTGATTGAGGAACGGCAGCACACATTGATTTATTTTATTGCTACACTGTCTGTTAGTCAAAGTGACTCGTGCAGCAGTTAAACTCGCCACCCGCAAGGCGTCTGGCATGCAGATGGTTTAGCGGTAACTGCAGAGTCTGATTTCACAGTGAGCACGTCTAAAGCTGGAACTGATCTGCAGTTCACAATTTACTCTTCTATTCGTGCAGAGGGAGTTAGGGATGGATAACCTGCAGACTGAACTTCTGAGAGGGGATCTACTTCTCAGACTTGCTCAGAAATGTCGCAGATTTTCCCATGTGCATTCAGTGATGGCCCTCTGCTCCCACTAGTGACTTGGAGAGGGACAGACCCCTACAGATCCCTGGGTAAGGATCTGCCAGTCGTGCCACCTGCTCGTCATGCTCCTTGGCAGGGCCACAGGTCAGCACATGCATGCCCTCAAGTGGCCACCGGAGGGCAGCAAGTCCACAAGTCCTTGATGAGCTTTCTGCCATCAAGCAGGAAAGAAGCCTGTTGCCAAAGAGAACAAGCCAGTGAAAGGGCCATCACTTTGCTGCTGCATCTCTGGCAGGTACTGCAGGACAAGAGTGCTCTTCTGCAGGGGGAAGGTTGGCAGGATCCTGGATTCCCCTCTTCTGCCATCCATGACGGACAACAGGATGCTGGGGATCACAGGAGCGGAGCCGGCTGGAACTGTGGTCAGGCCAGAGGGCCAGGAGGCCACTTCTCACCCGCTTTGTTTCCCTACATCTGTGAAACACTCCGCCATCTCCCATCCCAGCTAAATCATGTCTCTGAACAAAAACCATGCTCACTTAGGTCACAGAATCCTAGAGCAGTAGCGCGAGGGTTGGGGTTAGCGTGTTGAAGTGCCACCTACCTGCACCTGGCAAGCAGTCAGTGGGGCCCCCTGACCACACTCCGTTGCCCTGGCAGACTCTTGCTGCTGGCCCTACGAGAGTGTATCCAGGATCGCAGTGGAAGCGAACGGTGGACCCAGCTAAGTAGCTGGTTCCTTCCTTCTTGCCATTTTCAGGGGGAGCCAGCCAGCCACAGGAAGCCACTGAGAGAGAAAGGCACGTGTGCTTTCGGTTAAGCAGCTTCACCAAGCAGGGACCGTGACGAGGGGTGACTTGGGGACACAACAGCAAGTGGGGTGGGTCCCCTTAGAGCCACGCTCAGCCATTCTTGCCCGGGGGATCTGAGCAGCCAGACGTGGGGACCAGGGCTTGCTTAGGCTACAGGGAACCTGCTCTCCACAGGATGGACATGACTGGGTCGGGTGCACCATTTTTCTGACTCCATTTTTCTGACTTCAAGACTACAGACAATTCCACAGTTCCTGCTGCCACCTTCTTGAGGGACTGGATTCTCTGAGGACTGAGCAGCTGCGTGGTCCAGAACAGTGCACCCAAGCTGTGTATTGCCAGCAAGACCAGCGCCAGGAGACCAGCCCCAGGCAGAAAGGCTTGAATCTTCCTGGCATTTAGAGTCAGGGTTAGGAGAGGAGCACATGTTCCGGGAATGACTTCATGGGCACTTGCGCTGCAAATTCCTGTTCCCTTGCAGAAGGGCTGCATTGCTGGTTCCCCTCCTGGTTTAAATTCATTAGTGCAACCCAGTGGTTGCTTTGGGAACTACAACTGAGCTGGGGTGGCATTTGGGCTCCGTGTTTTGTAGCTGGGCAGGGTGTGTGTGTCTTTACTTGGATTATTATTTTGTCTCATAGGATTCCACTAGCCAGTAGTGCTGAAGCTGGTGGGCAGAATGGTCCACAGAGCAGGCGATGGCATTTCTGCATGGTTGCAGAAGGATGCTGGGCAGCTGTTCAAGATTTGCTCACCTGGTCGTAGGCTCTCCTTCAGGGTCTTGTAGCGCTGGTGGGCCAGCTTAGAGCTGTTCCCCACAGCTAGATCTCTGGTTGTCAAGACATCAAACCTGCAGAAAGGATCTGATTGGCAAAGCCTGGCCGTAAGCTCTACTAGAGGGTCAGCTGGGTCTTCAGAGGGAGAAAATACAGGCACAAAAGAAGGATTGTGCTTTGGTCTGTAGAAGTAGTTTTCCAACAAGTATTGTGTGTCATAAGTGAAAAGGGATGTTTCATTTATGATGGCCCCTAAAAGAAGGGAAGGTGATGCGGTTACTTCTTGGGCCTAAGCACAACTGCTTCTCCAACTTAAGAACAGCCACACTGAATCGGACCAGAGGTCCACCCCGTCCCGCATTCTTTCCCCATAGTGGCAAACCAGTGCCCCCAAGGTCCCTTGAGCAGGATGGGTGCAAGAGTTCTGCCTCTGATAAAGGAGGAGTGCATAGCCAACAAGGCTAGTAGCCACTGATAGCCTGGTCAAGGTTAGGACTCATCTGCTTTTTGTGAGAACAAGGGCAGCAGACACAGCAGGGAGGGGCTGGCCGATTAACTGCTCTGCCTGTTCAAGCTACAAGATCTTCCACCACTGGAGTGGCCCAAAACATCCGTACGAGAGGCAGGACTGACGCCCACTGTGGGGCAGGGACTTGTCCATGCCAGAACCCCAAGGAACCTCTCTGTCGGCCTGGTCAATGGATTGCCTTTCTGCTGCTTTAAACGGGTTCCCAGCAAGCAGACTTGAAGGTGGAATGGACCAGGGGGGCACAGCAATATGGAGCTGTGCGGCTGCTTTCCTGGCCTGGCACCAGGAGCCAGCAGGATGGCGCCTGCTTCCCCTCCCACCTGACAGAAGCCTCTTGAGCGTCTAGGCCTGCCCTAGAGGGGCCGCTTAGTGCGTCTGGGCTCAGACTGGTCTCCTGCCTCTCTCAGCCATTCTGCCCCGGATGCCCCTTTGCCGGGCAGCGGGTGGGGGCTCTAGTCCACTCACAGTCTGCACCAAAGGCAAAGAGTTCTTCAGGGCTGCTGCTGCTGCTGTCAAGGGTTGTTCCATTGCGGAAGGTTAAGTCGTCCTGGGGGTCGTCATTCATCACCCCAAAGAGCCCCCGTGTGAGAGCCTGGAATTTCTCTGGCAGCAAAACGGTGAGGCTCAGCACCCTCCCGGCACTCGCAATCACTTCTACACCAACTCCAGAGGAGAACATGACGTTGACATTCTGCCCAGGGGTGGTGGAGAGAAAGAGTCCTGCAACAGAAAGATGCTATGTGGACTCTGCTGTGGGGTGGGACAGAATTAGGGGGCAGCCACATTATGCAGGAGTGGTCAGCGATAATTCAGTGCTGGTCCTTGAGAATTTTATCTCTGTTTCCATGCTGCTCACCCCACCCCTCCTTTCAGGGATGGCTTAACAAGAAGTGGCTGGGAGGGATTGTTTGACCTCTCCTTCAGAATACAAAGAACAGCTCTGAGCTGTTAGGCAATTTAACCTGTTCCTGTTTGCTTTGGAGCAATTCTGGGAAGCCAAGTCTTTTCCAACACGATGCTTGCCAGCCTCTCTCATTGCATGGGGCCTTGGCTTTGGATTCTGCAGCACCCTGACAGACAAATATAGCTTTAGGCTAGAATCCAAGATACAGAAGTGCAATTGACTAAGACCCACTCACACAATAACACACATTTGCTCGCTGAATTTATGTGCAAACATGCATGTTCATTCACTGTCAGCTCCTGTTTGGACTCATTTTACTGTAGATGTTGCACAAGCATATCAGTGACCGATTAAGACCTATAATTAATTGAATTGCTTGCTTGTCATGTGCTTACATGCAATGCAGTCACAAAAGGGCAAATGCTATTTTGGGATGCATTAACAGAAGTATTGCTTCCAAATCACTAGAGTTGTAGTTCCCCTCTACCCTTCACTAGTCACACCTCATATAGGATACTGCATCCAGTTCTAGGCACCAAGATTTAGGAAAGATGCAGAAAAATTAGAAAGGGTCCAGGGAAGGGCAATAAAAAGGATCCAGGTTTGGAAACGCTGCCCTGTGGGGAGAGACTGAGAGAACTGGGCATGTTCAGCCTTGGGAAGAGAAGGCTGAGCGGGGACATGAGATCCCTCTAGAAGCACCTCAAAGGCTGCCACAAAGAGGAAGGGCAAGATCTCTTCCTGCTGATGCCAGAGTGTAGGACACGGAATAATCAGTTCAAGCTGCAACCACCCAGGTTCAGGCCAGTTGTCAGGAAAGGGTTCCTCACTGTCAGAGAAATACAACTGTGGAACCAGCTGTCTGGAGAGGTGGGGGCTCTCCCAGAAACTGGATAGCCATCTGCATAGGATAGTGTAAACTGGTGTCCTGCAACAGCAGGGGGTTGGACCTGACGGCCTTCATGGCCCCTTCCAGCTCTGCAATTCTGTGATTCCATTTCTTCTTGTTGGTGTTATTTCCTGTATTTTTCAAACTTGATTTCAAAATGACAGAAAATGTCATGGGAAAGAAGAGAAAACAGAACCTTCTCGTTTTCCCTGATACAGCTTTTAAAAAAGCAGCAGGTCAAGGAGAGGTGCTTGTCAGTAACAGCATCCACTGGCCCAAGGCCCGGCAGGTGGGGCGGGCCAGTGGGTGCCTCCTGCTGGGCCACCGTGCGGGTGCAGCCTTGCCCTCTTGCCCGTTTGCCCCTCGGCCCCCACTTTGCAATAGGCTGAAGAAGGTTTGGTTCGAAAAGGAAGAGAATGCAGCATGGGCAGCTGGGAGGAGGAGGTCCCACAAGCCCCCCTGGCTGCTTCCTTTGCCCCCTTTGCTGCCCTGACTTTATTGGCTTCTATGGAGTTACCGTCTTCATAATCGCACATGGAGCTGCTGCCTCGCAGTCTTGGGGGTTTCTGCCTCGATGGCTCCTTGGTGTAGACGCTGGTCCTCCCCAGCTCCTCAGGCAGATTCCCTGAACACACGCGGCCCTGGTGGCTGCACCCCCTCCCCGACCTTCCTGCCTGCCAGTTACCCCTCTTTGGAGTTGGCCAGTGCCGTGGTATCGTTTTGCTCAGGGGCTCTGCTTCGGCAGGGACGGCTGGTGCCTGCTATGTCCTTATCCATGGCAGCTTTTACTTTGAGCTCAATAGGAGCTATCTGTGGTTCTCCATGGTGATGAATCTACTTGGGGGATGGAGTTCAACACCACGGGTAGCTTTCATAAAGCTCAGAATAAAAGCTGCCATGGATAAGGAGCCCCACTAACGCAGCAGCCACGTCTCCTCTCTGGCCACCCTTTTCTGGCCGCAGCCGCTTTCAAGGGTGCTTGGTTGAGAGACACCAATCAACTGCTTCTAGCTGAGGGCTGCTTTGCTAGACATAATTCTGGGGGCTGGAAATGTGTTCTGCCACTGAATTACAGGCTGGGACGGGGGTCAGACCCGATGACCCAGAGGCCCCTTCTGGCTCACTCTGCTTCTCTGTCTCATGTTCCTCCGAACACAGGACCGTGCAGTGGGCTTTGCAGTGGAGAACGGCCCAGGACTAGGACCTGAGCCACATTCCACACGCCCCTGGATTCGACTTTGCCGCCACATTTGTGTGCCTTCCGGTTCCACCAGTGCCTTTCATTTCTTTGCTGATTATTCGGGTCTCTCTCTTATTCCAGTGCTTCTGATAAGCATCCCTTGCCAACCCTGGGAGGTTGCCCATGGCTGGTGAGAGAAGCCCTGCCTTGCCCGCAGAAGGAACACAGTGCAGTTCCTGAGAGTCTCTCCAGGCAGGACTGGGAAGGAATCCTGCCCAAAAAGCTGGGTGGTGGTGGTGGGGGGGGGGCTGCAGCTGCCAGTCCGTGTGAACAGCCTAAATTTAGGGGGCTAAATGGAGGGGCCATTCCAGCTGAGTCTAGGGCTGCTTCTGCCCTCTCCACCTCACCTTTCAAGTCCATCCAGGTTTGTTCAGAGAAGTTCAGAGCTCTGTGATTCCACAGGACCTCCAGCGTGTCTGAGTGCGCTGGGATGCGTATCTCAATCACATCTGAGTTATTCTCCCGCATTGCGATGGCGGAGAAGCCCGTCACATTGGCCTTGGCTCCTAGGAGGCAATAACAATGATAACGAAGCAAAATTACTACCATGCATACACTGTGCTCCCAGGGACCGAAGATGTGCCCATGCTTAAGTTGCGTCCAACAAGACAAGAAAATGCTAAAAGCCTAATTGAAAATTGTAAATATCAAAAAGCGCTGAAGCCACACAAATCCTAGATAAAGAAATCAATTTTACCCAAGAACCTACAAAGTCTAGCAGACTGGACTTAATGTATCTCCCCTGAGTGGGGAGGAGGTTTGACTTGTGCAGCCCTAACCCTAGAAAAGGGCTTAGCAGTGGGCAGCAGTGGAATCTGAAGCAACTCTCCCCTTCAATTATCTTAATTTATGGGGGGCATACATATAAGAATGGAGGCATTCCTTGAATTATCCCCTGGCTATTCAGGTCAAGGAAAATGTTATCGATAGCCTATGATTAGTTTCAGTTAGTAGCCTGTCCTCCTGAAAGAGCCCCACGCAGAAGCAAGACGCCCTCTTAACATCACACCAATGTCCCCTACTGATCCGTTGTTCCTCCCCAAACAAAGCCAGAGGCTCATGTCTTTGCAGACTGGAAATTTCCTCCGTGTCCTGGCGTGCAGGCCCACCCGCCCGCCCTCTCCACCATGTGTAGATCTGGCTCTGGTTTATTGAGCCTGTTTGGTTGATTATTGACCTTCTTTGTGCAGGATTTGGCCACACCTGAAAGTAACACTGCAGCTGGACAGGGTCAGCCCCCTGGGGCACCATGCTCCAAACTTGAGAAACTCTTGGGGAAGCGTGAGGCAGGCTGCCGGACGCCACAGGAGCAGCCACGTGGAGGAGCGCAGCCGCCCTCCAGCCCCACTTTCGGGAGCAGCCCTGCAGATCTGGAACGCAGGACCTGCAGCTCCTTCAGCCCACACGCCTGGACCAGAGGCCACGGGCTGCCACAGGAGTAGCCACAGGGGGAAGGTGGTGCTCCTTCCTCAGTCCTGCCTCGGCTCTCTGCCAGGGCCACCCAGGGTGCTTCTGTCCCACCAAGCGGCCACCATCGCCCAGCTTCCACCGGACTGGCGATGGCCCTGAAACCTGCGGCTTTGCTTGATCCTGCCAAAGTGCCGTTAAGCCTTACTGGAGTTGCTCTTTAAGGGCAGGCTGCCGGATCCTGCTTCATGCCAAGGGTGAATGGGGGGCCCAGTGGGAGGGCAGCAGACAGTCGGCAGCGCTGGCCCATCCTTCATGCATGGAGCACCGATTTCATCCCACTAAGGTGAGCCAGCCTGTGAAGGAGCCTTGCGATGGGCCCTTTTCCCAGTGCAATCCCTTGTGGGAACAGGCACAAGTCAAATCCCTCAGAAGAGCATTTATCTTCTGAGGTCTTTCCATGCTGCCTGCCAGGGCAAGACGTCACCCACTGGTGAGGCAGGATGAAAGAGCTCCGCAGCAGCATCTTCTCGGAGTGGTCCTCCCCTTCCATCAGGTGAACAAGGAAGGAGGCCAGGAGCAAAGCACAGTGCGGTGGTGCTGGGAGCCGTTGTATCATAAAGGCTGGTTATCAGCAGGTTCTGCAGAGGTAAGCATTAAATAGTGGATTTAATTAAGAGCCTGTGGCTTGCCTCCACATCTGTTAGAATCAGCTGAGGTCATTTTGGACAACCTGCCCACTGATGGTTTTGGGCTCTATTTCCCGTTCTCCCCAGCCAACATGACACTTGTGGGAGCACAGATCTTCCACCTAGGTTTTAGACCCTGCACTTAATGGACTTCCCCAGGGAGGGGGCGCTTTGGATGGTTGTCTGAGTTGCCCAGCACGCAATCACTGCTCCTCTTCTCTCCCCACCACCTTCCATGCTTTACAAATGCCTTTGCATTCCAGATGTGTTGGAGCAAATAGACAAAATCCCAGCTCTGCCAAAAAGACTAACATTTTTGAACATGTGAAGTTGTCTACTATACATTTAGTCCAAACCTGTTATCATCATAATGGTGGGACTCAACTGGCCTTTGCTTCTCCTGCCCTGAAGCCCAGGCACACTTAGTTTTGATTACGCATCATTTTTGTTGTAGAAAAAGATAGGGTTTTTTTTTTTTTTTGCTTACAACATTTTAGAGGGAAATAATAAAATACGTAAATGTAACCTGGCCAGGCCAGCCTCCTTAACTATAGAATGATTTTAGAAATGGGAAGCTAGAATGCTTCTGTGCACAACATCGGCTCCAGGTCAGCCCAGCGGGCTCTCACCAGTCTAGCTGCTAAGGCTGGGCTGCTTCCCTCTTGCCTCGCCACCCATGAGGCCTCAGTGGGCAGCTTATGGTGGATCTTGGCCCCGGGGCTTGGCTGAAGCTGCACCACTGTCCAGAATTCTTTCTCCAGCATTGCACAGGAGAGGTGGGAGCTGCAAGTCGAAGGGAACAACTTCCTAAGGCTGTCCTGGGATTGCCTAGTTGAAGAGGGTGTTCAGCTGCAGACCTTCCTGCATGCGGCTGCTCTCAGCCTTTCCACTGGCTATATGGGGCTGGTGGAAAACGGGAATGTGGTAAAGCAGAGTTTGGTTAAAACCTGCAGGGAACGTGGGTTCTTCGGGAGGTGAATGTCCCCAGCCTCACCTTCCTTTTCAGCAAACACCTCAGCACGGCGAGTTCTCGCTTGGATTCTCAAGGAGGTGAGGTTGGATTCCAACACTGTGTATTCACCGAGGCCTTTAAATGTGAAATTTGTGCCATCAAAAGTGATGAAGTGAGGATCCCCAAAAGCAGAAGCTGTTAAACACAAAGACAGAGTTAACTCAGGACTGTCCCTTTCCGAGGGCAGATGCACCCCAGGGCCTCTGGGAAGCAGCATCCAAGGGTGCCCAAAGGCCTCCACTTTGAGGGAGAAGGCGGGCTGTGCTCTCGGCGCCTGAGGCTGGGCTTGCAACTTCAATCAGGCAGCAAAGGAGGCCCTTCTCGGGAAAGCACAGGTGTGCTTGAGTAGGCACACACTTCTATGATGCAGCCTCCGCAGGGTAAGCCTACGTGAGCCCAGCCCAGATCCTAAGCTTCAGACGTCTCCTCGGAATGAGCTGTGCCCTTCAGGAAATCTCGTGATCAAGTTTCCCAGTCACGTCTTTCCTTAAAGAATCTCAGCCTGGAGCTGGTAGAATCTGTGCCCTCTGGATCCTACACAGCATTTTTGATTTCTGACTCATATCTCCCACCTTTTGCTCTGGATCAGCCACATACAAGAAAGATGCAACCAGGTTATATTTTATATTTATATACCAGGGTCTTTGTTGCCTGAGAAAATCTCTGAGCAACATGTGTGCCCCAGGCGCATTCACTGGAATAGAACATGCAGAAGGCTTCCACTTTGCTCAGAAAGTATCCAAGCTACTAGTCCGAAAATAGGTTAATTCAAAATTTCATTTGTTTTGGCAGGCACCAAAAGCTGCTCAGGGGCATGCCAGCACCCATTCATGCTACACGGCTTGCCCCTGCCCTACAGCACTATCAAAATAGTCTGCCTGAGACTCACAGCATTTTCAAAAGTTAATTATCATTGCAAAGTGTCTCTGTTAAGTCAATTCATTTTGGGTTTTTTACTCCTTTTAAAAATCTCAAGATCTGACAAAGTGTGCCACAGCCGGATGTCCGTGCAACAAAGCAGCGGCCATTTCCTAAACACCTCTGAGCCCACCTGCTTGCCTGGGGGGTCTGCAAAGGACCACAAGAAGCAGTGAACGTACCAGCGCGGGGCGGATGGTATCGCCTGCAGCCACTGGAGGGACGATGCTTGAAGTAGACCGAGCAGTTGTCGGACCACAGGCAACAGTAATAGAAGGAGATGACATCATAGAGCCAGTGGGAAAAGCCGGGCACCCTGGGGGGCCTTTTGTAAGGAGGCGCGCCCCAGTCGTGCCCGCGGTCCGGGGTGCTTCCCCCGATGGAGTCTCCCGTGAGGACCTGGGCTCCTGCAGCGTCATAGCAGCACTGCTGCCCCGCAGTGTATTGTGGGCTGAGGGGAGGAAGAGAGGGGGAAACAGCTCAAATTCTTCGGCCAGCAAGGCGCGTCCAGGGACCGTGAGCTGCTGAGGCACATCCCGCCCAGGGCCCACCCAGACGCAGGGCCTTACCTGGCCTGGACAGACCTCACACAGTGCACTGCCCCCGGGTGGTAAGTGCAGACGCTCCCCCTTTCGATGTCACAGCCATAGTCCGTCTGGAAGAGAGCGATGGAGGGCTGGTCAGAGCCGCTGTTGTGCCACATTAGGAGTGAAGAGTTCGTTGGTGGACTAAAACATTTGCATCCTGCCTCGCACCACAAGATTAGCAGGGCTTTTTGTATCAGTGATGCAGACAAGGAGCCAATGCAGTTTGCGGCAGCAGCAACCATTCCAGGAGGAAGAGCAAGCAGATCCTGCAAACACCAAATGCCCGCGTCGCCTTCCCTGGAGAGAGTTTTAACGTAGTTCAAACAGAGCAACGCTTGACAGTCGTAAGGCCTGTCTGGGTTCCAGCAGACCTACTTCCTCTACGTAGCATGCACAGGACTGCATTTGGCATCAGAAGCCCAATTATGTGAGGTGGATACTCTGGCTTAGGTCTTTTAGGATATTAAAGCAGCCCTTTGACTTGAGGTGCCTGGGAATGACTAGTCCCCCAGCAAAGCTGTTTATGTACTGGGAAGATGGGTTTCTGCACCAGTTCATGTACCTTGCAGCTGGATTTGTCAAGCTGCTCACTGTCTTCCTAGAATACCCCAGGTAAAGGAGGCTCTAGCAACTCCTCCTGGGTCTTGTAAGAGTGACTGTGGTCGTGTAACGGTTGCCACAGCACGGTGTGCCGTGGACTTCAGTGCTTGTCCTAACTCTGCACCTTCTCTCAGAGGCCTGCTTGTCTCTGCTCCTGGGCAGTGCCTGGCTAGCGCTCAGGGGTGGTGCAGCCAGGAAACCAGCCGCGCCTGTTCTCTGAAGAGCAGGCAGAGAAACGGAAGGTGCTGCTCTGCCCTCAGACAGGCCTTGCGGATGAGGAATCTCCCCCTCTCCTCCTTGCCCCATCCCACTCCTGCCTCCCCCACCTCCTAACTGCCACTGCAACCAGGCCTCCCGGTAACGAAGCCCCTTCCCACAGAGACTCCTCCAGCCAGGCATGTGCGGCCTACATGAAACCGGCCAGTGTCTGCACGGGCTTGTGCCAAGGTGCAGGGGCAATCCATGATCTCGTCCAGGAAACTGGGCAGGCCCATTTCTTTCCGGTCCCATTGGTGGCACTTGGCGGTGCCCCATGCCGTGGAATTCTTCCGGAAGGCGTCTTCCAAGTGCCAGGCCAGAGCATGCTCGGTGCTCCAGATGGACGCCACATTGCTGGTAGAGGGGAGCAGAACAAAAACAGTATTCAGAGTTTGTAAAGAGGGAAGACTGTTCGGTGTGTGTGTGAAATGTATTAGCCATCTGATCTGAGAGGGTCAACACCTGTTTCGGCTGGTTCAGGTCATGTTGGAAGAAACAGCCTTTTCAAGAAGCAGGAAGTGGCTTCCTTGGAGATACTAAGCTCAGAGTTAAGCTGGAAATTCCATCCACTTTCCATCAGTTACAGGAAGGCAAAAGGAACCCTAGAAGAGGGCTGAAGGGGTGTCAAGGCTGAATAAGATCGGATGGGAGGAAACTCAGCTTCAGAAACAAGGGTGAATGGGCACTAATATAGTTCCACGCCTTTTGTGGCTGGATCGGCTGCTGCAGAGCTGGCCAACGTCTATGTGGGCATCTGAGAAAGCCAAGCCTTGGCGCCATGTGGAGCCTGAGAAGCTACCTGTCTGCAGCCATCGCCTTATGCTCAGCCTTGCCTGCCAGGAACTCTTAAGATCGTGATGAGCACTTCATGGAATCATGTGAGCCAGGAGGACGTTGCGGTGCTAACCTAGCCGGAGTGCTCAGGAGTCCTGGAGTTTAATCTCTCACCTCTGACCATCAGAAGACAAATGTGAAGAAATCCTCAGTGCCCCAAGTTCCCAGGTGCTGTACAGAGCTGAAGGGGCTGGCAGGAAACTAAGAGCCCCTGTGTTGGGGTAGTTTCTTCTCAAGGTGTAGAGATATTTCCATTCAGCTTCCCATTCGTTGGAGTAAGGTCTACCTGTGCAGGAAAGGGAGTGGGGTGTGTGTGTGTTGGTTCAGATGCTACCGGCTGCACTAGGACAGAGCAACCCTGCCTGACTTGAGGTGGAGCACCACTCATTGCTGCCTGCAGAAGAGACTGTTCTGGATCACGCAAAGTTCTGTCTAGTCCAGCATCTCCAAGAAGTGGCCAGACCATTCCCTGTGGGAAGCTCCCAGGCAGCAGCCCATTCCCCAGCTGCCGGCTCTGACCAGAGGGGGATTATTCAGCACCTGCCTCCCACTGATGGAGGGGCCCTGCTCATAGAAGTTGCCTCCGCCTGATTTTCTGGGGTCGCCCCCTTTCGCTGGCAGCACAGCCCAGCATAGTTGCCTGAACCCTGTGCAGCCTTTCCGGGAGGCTGCACAGGTCACAGGAGCTGCTCCTGCTGCTCCAGGGAGCTGCCTCTGCCCATCTACCCCTGTGCTGCCTGGCAGGGGTTCTGCAGGGTGGAAGGTGGGGTTGGCCCAGTCCCACCCGGACGTGCTCTGGGGACTGGCGCCTGGCGTCTTCCTCCTGCTGGCAAAGCAGTGGGGCTCTACTGCCGACTCGCAGCCCTTCCCTGCCGGGCAGCCCCCTTTGCTCTCACGATGAACAGACATGGGCCCATCCGGAGGATGTGGCAGATGACCGGGAATGCAGATCTAAAGCCTCTCTCAATCCGCCCGCCCCTTGAGCAGACTGCTGGCAGCTGTGGACATACCGGACTCATTGTACCCCCAGACTTCTACGTTGACGTGGCTGGCCCGAAGTGTCTGCTGGTTCCATGTGACAGTCAAGTTTCCCCCTGTTCCAGGAGTGCCATAGTATTGCCACTTGGTTTCGTTCACTAATTTGCTTTTTTCCAAAGGGGATACTTTGCTATGATGAACTGCATGACAGAACAAAAGGTGGTCATTGGTCCCGTGTTTACAGCACGTCGCCCCAGTCCTTGAACGGCATTAACTGTGGCAGGTGTTCAGCAAGAGGGGCTATGAAGAAGCGGCTCCCTCGGTTCCCTCCCCCTCATCATAACGAGAACCCGAGAGGAAAGCGCCTTTGTGTGAGCAGCGGAAATCCGCACTCCCTGCTTGGGACGTGGCAAAGGCAGGAAAGGCTTGCAACGTGTGGAAACGCTTCATTCAGGCTCCTGTATTGGCCGACAAATGTGTGGGATGTTTCTTCAGGCACTTGAAATGAGGGCAGCTGCTTTGAGGAAGCCCTGCTGTGCTTCTTGAAGAAGCAGTTCCTCGGAGAGCAAGGGGCCAGGGCCAGGGCCACGGTCTGCAGAGTCTTGGTTTTAGGGAAGAGCACAGAACATGTACATCAAAACAGCAATGGTGGTTAATGAATCACCTGAGACCCACGTGCTCGACCAGGGAAATGTCGAGCCACCATCATTAGAAATTTCCAGGCTGACCATGCCAATCTGATAGAGCAAGGGGGAGATGCAGTGAACCCGTCCATCTTCAGCAACATACCCGCCAGTCACAACTGTCCGTGCAAACCTGCGGTATTAAGAAGAAAGCACACCCTGGCTAAAAGGCCCAAATGGATCATCCCAAATGGGCAGCTGCCTCCTCAAGAGCTTTTGAGGATGCCTGTCCCCACCCGCTTGCCAAGGTCTTCTGCATTAGCTCCATGGGCTCAAGCCCACAATGCGCGAGAGTTATTTTGCAGGCTGAACAGCAGGGAAATGCCAGCAATGGCATTTCATCTTATCCTAGCAGAACCCTTGACAGCTTCAAGCCACTCTTATATCTGCTTTTATACTAGCATGTGAAACACGGTTATAGAAGATGCAGGACTGGTGTCCCCACGATGGAGACCTCCAACATCACCTAAAAACGTGGCCATTTGCTGCCCCCATCAAAGGACATCAAAACACCTTAGGGAATGCTAGGGTGGTCTTTTCTCTCTCCTGTTCTAGCTTCTAACCTTGCTGTTTGACCCTCCCTCTCAACATCTACTCTTGCTAGTCACCCCCCCACAGCTTCTTTAGCTTGTATTTGACTAACGGTTCCTGCGTGTACCGTCAGGCCAGTTCAAAGTAAGACCTGAGGGGCGGGGGGCGGCCTTTCCCAGCTCTTCCCTCTGGGGTGCTCTGCAGCACCAAAATCTACATGAGAGTCGGGAAGCGGAGGGTGCTGTAGTCTCCCTTCCTCTCTAGTCTTCCTGTCCATTGGAGTGCTGATCCTGGGTGTTTGCATTTTGGGTTGGGCACCAGAGAAGATCAGCGTTTGCGGATGCATCGCCCACACTGCTGCTTCTCAGATTCCCTGTCGGGACTGATGGAGGTGGTCTCAGTTTTGGTGCTGAGGTTCCCTAGAATGATAGTTCAGAGGGATCACAACTTTCATACCGAGGTTGCTGAATATGGGGTAGCTCTGGACTTCATGGCCACCAGGACAACCATGGTGTTGTCTCAACATGCCATCAGCCCAGCACCTCCAAAAGGGGTTTCTTGGCTGGGCAGGAGGAGGAGGATTTCTAAGTGGGTGAATAACAGCTGGCCGGGAGAAGGGCTTTTTCTGCAATTGGAACATGCTTCCAATAGAGACCCACCAGACGTCTCTTCTCATTCACATGCCAACTGAAAACATTTCTTTTTCACAAATATTTCAGTGAGTGCATTGGCTTGGTTTTATAATGATTTGCTATACTGGCTTTTATTGCTGCTACTGCCATGCTAGAGTTTTAACTGCCAGACAATCTTATTTAAATGATCATTTTAATTCTGCTGCGATCTGGGCCAGGGAGAGCATCAGCGGAACTGTTGACAGCAGGCTCTGACAGGTGCATGTGGCACTTTGAAGACCAAGTGCCTTAGATTTATTATGAACTTGACACCGCAATTAATGTGGGTCCAGTAGTAGAGCTGTCCAGAGCACTGTCTGGTCCAGTTTTATTGGATGAATTTGAGTTTGGATGCCAGGAAGTACTTTGGATGCCAGGAAGTCCTTCCTGAAAGTTAGGACCCCAAGGGTGTGGAATGGGCTTCCACGGGAGGTCGTTGAGGCCCCATTGGTGAGGGTGTTCTAGGATAGGCTGTACACGCACATGGTGGGCATGTCGTGAGTGGAGCCAGCAGGAGCTGGGGGTCAGACTTGATGGCCTGGGAGACCCCTTCTGACTGGCTCAGTTTCTGTGTTTCTAAGCCTGAGGAAGTGCACAAGGTGCTTAGCAAGGTTCCACCTGTATGCTTGACCCTTGTCCATCATGGCTTATTTTCAGATGTAAAAAAAGGATTTGCACTTGGGTCCAGGAGAGAACAGTGTCTCTCCAGGGTCTCCTTGAAAGAGAGAATGGTGCCAGCCTCTAAAAGAGGCTGTGACTAAACCACTCTTTTAAAAGCTTGAGTTGGACCCAGAGGATGCAAATAACTACAAGTCTCTTGCCAACATCCTCTTCCTGAGCAAAAAGTTTGAGAGAGTGGTGGCCAGGCATCTCGAAGTACTCTTTGATGCATCTGACTATCTAGATCCATTTCATTCGGCTTCAGGCCTGGTTTTGGAATGGAAACTTCCTTGGTTGCCCTGTGGGATGACCTTCTTCAGGAGACAGACAGGAAGAATGTGACCCTGTTGATTCTCCTGGACTGCTCAGTGGGTTTCAATAGCATAAACCATGTCCTTCTGGATAGGCTGGTTAGGTTGGGAGTAGGAGGTACTACTGTTCCTACCTAGCCAACTGATTCCAGAAGGTGGTGCTGGGGGATGATTGTTCTGTGCCGTGGCAATTATGCCAGGGAGCACCACAGGAGTCTATCTTATCTCCCATGCTCTTGAACATCCACATGCAACTGCTGGGGGAGGTCATCTGGAGCTATGGCGTCATCAATATGGAGATGGACCTCTATTTTTCATTGAACTCAGGGGAGGAAGTGGTTGTTTGGTACTGGCCAGAATGAGGGCCAACAAGTTGAGACCCAGTCCAGAGGAGATGAAGGTGCAGTTGGGAGAGCTTCAGCCTGTCATGGATGAGGTTGTGCTGCCTCTAAAGGGCAGGATTCATAGTTGGGGATGCTCCTGGATCTTGAACTGTCACTCAAGCTTTAGATGAATTTGGTGGCATGGAGCACCTTCTGTCAGCTTAGACTGATTTACAAACTACGACCCAATCTGGACAGGCAGAGCCTGGCAACAGTGATCCATGCACTGCAACCTCTAATTTGGACAGCTGCAATGTGCTTTCCCCGGGGCCGCCTTTGAAAATGGTCCAGAAACTTCAGCTGAACCAAAATAAAGCTGCACAGTTGCCAGTTGAGGTGTAGGTCCAATTCAAAGTGCGTGTACTAATATTTAAAGCCCTGAAAAGCTTGGGGCCAGGCTATCGGAAGGAACTTCTTTCCCTGTACATACCTACCCACATCTTCTGAGGTCCTTTGTAGGGAGCCCCCTCCAAGGGAAGCAAGGAGGGTGGTGATCAGAAGAAGGGCTTTTTCGGTTGTGCCACCCACTTACACGCATGGAGTAAGCTCTGCAAAGAGGTATCCCCTGGTACCTACACTTTTATCTTTCTCTTTTTATTCTCCAGATATTTCAATAGTTAAACTATAGCTTTAATATTACATTTATGTCATTATTGTTCCTGTATTTTTAATTTAATTACACCAGTAGCGGCCTTGTTGGATTGCTTTATTGTGCTGGTGTTTTCAGTGGTGATGGTGGTCCTGTTCGTTATTGGCTATTTAGTGATTTTATTGGTGTTACTGTTTTGTTGTATAATGTTTGTTTTTTGTATTTGATTTTGTTAACTGCCCAGAGTCCCTTTGGGCTATTGAGTGGGATAAACATCATTGAATAAATACATTGTTGTGAATCACCCAGAGAGCTTCAGCTTTTGGCGGTAGACATTTAATAAATAAATTAACTAACTAACATCTGAGAAAACTTTGCATTTCAACTTTCCTGTTTTTGTGGATTTGTGAATGCAGGTGTGGCATGGCCATAACAATGGGCTGTCATGGAGTCAAGTTCCTGTTTCCTTTCATTTCTCTGACATTGTTACCTAGACGACGTTGCATTTGTCAACTTGATTTGTTGCCTTGTCCTCAGACTACACTATAATGTATTTCAGGTTATTATCAATGTTATCATTGTTGTTTACACACTAAAGGTTTAGTTTAGTTTTTTCCCAGTAAAAGCTACTTATTATCAGTGGAGGCATGGTTAATGATTTTACTAGGGCAAAGACTATTTAAAAACAGTATCCAGCTGAAGTCTTTGAGATGGTACCAACCACACCATATAAAGACCCGTGTATTTGGAAGGAACAGTGTTACAAACGTGTGCATAAGAGAGTTCATAGCTATATACTGGGAATATTTACCTCAACAGAGCTATTGCTCCTTATAAGCTAACATGAAGAGAGGAGATTCTGGTGTACAATATGTCAGGCTGTACCTCAGCCTCTGACCAAATTTATCTATAAGTGAAACCTGAAACTATGCATTACAGATGACACTATGGCTAATAAATGTATTAGGGTCATAGGGTGTCAAAATTCCTCCCTCCTTTACTTCTTCCAGCCCATTTACTATAAAGAATCACAACAGACTAAACAAAGGAGCAATTTCTGCAAAGGATTCAGATGTTTGGAGGAAACCATTATGCTTCCTCACTTGACTCCGCGGAGGCTCACCTGCACTTCACAGAAGATTGGGGGTTGAAAGTCAGGTTTAGAGGTGTAAAATCTTTCCCACCAAGCAGTGTCCCAGAATAAGGAGAGATGGTCAGGCAGAATTCCAGGTAATCTGAACAGCAAGTTCCCAGGGACTTACAGGTTGCTTGGCATGAACAGCTGGGCTGAGATGTACCGCAGTGACCAGCACAGGAGTCCTGGGCTCCTAGTTAGAATGGAAAAAGTAAAACTGCAAAAGCCAGACGAAGCACGACCTCCTTCATGCTTCAAGGAAGCACCCCCAGGGGAAGTGAAGGGCACTTCTTCCAACTCCCTCCAGCTCCCACAATTGTGGCTGAAAACACGTGTGGACCCAGTGGGTTGAGCCCTCTTGCTCCTTGACAGGTTGATGGCATGCAGTGGGGATGCTCCAGTCCAGTCAGCCTGGCTTCCTCTTCTGCTGCTAAATGAGACACCTTTCCTGAACAATTCTGGCAGAAACTTCTCACACCTGAACTGCAGCCCTCACCTCTCTTTCGTTCTCTCTCTCTCTCTTCCCCTCAGGCATGGGTAGTGCCTAAGCTTGGCTAGCTTTTCCAGTAGAAAAGCTCCCCTTCTGGGGAGGTCCAAAGAATTCGAAAAGGAACTCCCCCTCATCCCTTCTGCTTTATCAGCACTGCTTTTGCTCAATTATGGGGGGAAAGGTTATTTTAGTAAGCAAGACCAGTTGCATGGGACAGGATCCAGCTGCATGTCATGCTGCCTGCAGCAAAATAGAAAGTTTAGCTAGTTTGATTTACTTGCTCGATTAGAGAGACAAACTATCCCACCAAAGGCACTCCTTCCAGTACCCATCTACAAAAGACCGGAGCCTCGAGTTGCCGGCCCACAGAGTTGCAAGCTTCCCATGCTCAGGCCCTGCGGCATGTTCTGCCAGGGCCTCTCTCCATCCTCGGTAGGTGCTTTCTGCATGAAGTTTGTCACAACTGTGCCTCCCCGGACACTGTCCCCAGTCCACCAGTATAAAGAGATGGTTGCTTTGTTCCTTTCTCAACTTTGTTGGCTGAGGAATTAGTTCTGATTGGAGACAGCTTGAACCTCACCTTCTTGTAGTTTTCCTGCCTTCAGCAGAATGGTCACATTCATCCTGTCTGCTGTGGCAGCCTTCTGCTTCTCTTCTCCCCCTGCTTTGAGAGCATGGTCAGGCCGTGTGTTTCTGCCACCCGCTCTTCCCGCAAGTCTCCCGCAGCAGCCCCGGAGAAAGCTCTATGTGTATCTTCCGCCAAATGAACTGCCAACAGCAGTGCTTGAGTTCCAGCCCCTGACCCTGCACCAGGGAGCACGGAGCAACCATATTCAAAGGCTGCCACCAGGCCATCTAGGACAAGAGTCCCCCCTGCTTCCCTCACTCCCTGTCCTGGGAACCAGGCAATGCCAGGATGAGCGGGGAAGGGAAAACCACAAGGAACTCAGAAGATGGGTGCAACAAGGGTGGGGTTGCTCTCCAGGGTTTGCTGCCAGGAATGTGCTTGAACATGCTGGAGCCTCTTTCTTCCTGGTGAACATGAACAGCTTTGTGCAATTTGCAAATTAATCCCCTGGGAGGTTATCCAGTTAAGACTCCCTTTCAAAGAGCAAATGTAAAACTGGACTTACCGGCTTTCAGCCCAACAGACAAGCAGAGAAGAATGAGCAGAAAGGCACTGCAGTGGCAGACGAGTTCCATCTTTTTCAGGGACTGGCCTGCCCCTCAAGCTGCTCTCCAGGAAGGAGGGTGTCTTTGCACGGCTGTCTCTCCTGGAGAAGAGATCCTTGGACTTGTCGCTCAAAGGTTCCTTAGGAAATGCTGATAGGCAAGAGGAGCAGCGGCGAGTCACACGCTGTCATGCTGGCAGTGGCAGGAACGCCCTCCCTGCCTCTTCCTCAGGCGTGAGCAGCAGACCTGTGCAGGGCCAGCCAGTGGCTCTGTGCTGCAGGCCGAGATGACGGTGGAGCGTGCGGGCTTTGCTCGCTTGTCTTGCTCCCTGCTGAGGAGGGATCTGTCCTTGCAGGTGCTTGGTAGCTGAGGCACTGACTGCCAGCTTTGTCTGGCTGTCTCTCACATTAGTGGCTGTTGTCCTGAAGAGTTGGCACGATTCTAAAACTGGCAGTCCTCCACATGTTTTGGCTTACCATTCCTATCACCACCACCGAGGACAGCCAAGAGTGAGGCCAGGGAGCTAGATCTTCCAGAGATGGAGCCAGTGCTCTCAGCAGGCCTGGGAAGCCCGCAGGGAGCCTGGGGCCTTACAGGAGAGGATCATGCTCCTGTTCCCACAGGAGAAGGATGGTTGTGCCTCTGGCCACCTAGTCGCCAAGAACACTGTTACTTCAAAGGCTGGCCAGAATGACTCCCTTCCGAAGAAGTGTCTGATTAGGAAGAGAGGCTCCTCTTGAGAAGGGACTCATTGGGACCAAGTCCTTTAAAGCACTGCAGCTGAGTGCTGGGTGGGGCTCAGGAAGCTCTGTTGACAGAAGCCTGTCCTATCTATCCAGTAACTGCCAGAGACAGGGTCATATTTTTGGCTCCAGCCTCCTATTGACCCGACCTTGGCTTGGATCACCACGCCTCTGATCGCTGCATTCCGACCTAACTCTGCTGGTGGGCTGTGTTTTCACTTGGCTAGTATCCAGGGCTTTTGAAACTGGCTATGCCACAGACATTCTCTGGAAAACCCTCACTTGCTTACTGAAACTCTGCTTGACCATTTGTCTGTTGAATTGACTTTCTGATTACATAGAAACATAGGAACAGAGCGAGTCAGAAGGGGTCTCCTGGGCCATCTAGTCTGATTCCCAGCTCTAGCCAGCTCTGCTCATGATACGCCTACCATGTGCATGTCTGGCCTATCCTTGAACACCCTCACTGATGGGGCCTCCACCACCTCCAGGGGAAGCCCATTCCACAACCTCAGGGTTCTAACTGTCAAGAAGGACTTCCTGGCATCCAAACTGAACCTTGGTTCCTTGAGCTTTGCTCCATTGGAGCACATCCTGCCTTCCTCTGCAGGGAAGAACAAGTCTCTACCCACCTCTGTGTGACACGCACTCACATACCTGTATGTCGCCAACAGATTCCCTCTGAGTCTCTTTTTCTCCAGGCTGAAGAGACCCAGTTCCCTCAGTCTAGCCTCATACGGCATCCCCTGCAAACCAGCCACCAACCTTGTTGCCCTACGCTGCACTGACTCTAACCTGGCTAAATCCTTTCTGTAATGAGGGGCCCAAAACTGAGTACAATACTCCAGTTGCAGGCACACCAGAGTCATATAGAGTGGCATTAATACCTCTCTCGATCTAGAAGCCACACTTCTATGCAACCACGGGTGGCGTTCGCCCACTTGGCCACCGCGTCACACGGCTGACTCATGTTCAGCCTGCAGTCAACCAGCCCCCCGAGGTCCCTTTCACAAGTGCTGCTCTCCAGCCACCTGTCCCCTAACCTGCACTTATGACGCCCATCCCTATGCCCCAAGTGCAAGACCTTGCACTGATCCACAGTGAACACCATCCTGTTGTCTCCTGCTCCTCAGTTGTGGCCACTGCTCCAGTTTTAGTATCGTCTGCGAATTTGATCAGCAGACTGTTTACCCCTTCTTCCATGTCATTTATGAAAAGATTAAACAGGATTGGCCCCAGGACCCCGCTTGCCACTGTCTACCATCCCGATGATTCTCCACTAATGCTTTCAGTCAGCCAGCCATGCCCTAATCCATCAGACAGCGCATTGGTCTATCCCAAAACTCCTCAGTTTCTCAACCAGGATATCATGGGGCACTTTGTCAAAATCCAGGTAACCCACATCCACCAAATTCCCTCCATCTAGCCACCTCAAAACCTTGTCATATAATTTCCCAAGGTTTGTCTGGCAGGACCTGTTTCTTCAGAAGCCGTGTTGCGTGGCCAGCAACCTCCCTTCCCTATCTAGGGTTACTAGATCTCTTGCTATTATGAGCCTTTCCATTGTCTTTCCTACAATGGATGTATGGCTAACCAGTCTGTAATTCCCCATGTCCCCTTGATTACACTTTTTGAAAATTGGAACCACTGATGCCACCCTCCAGTCCTCTGGAATCTCACCCATTCTCCACAAGGCCCCAAAAATGGAGGCCAGAGAGCACGAGAGAACTCCGGCCAACTCCCAAAGTACTCTCAGGTGTAACCCATCAGGACCTGGTGCCTTTGTAACCTCTAGTGCCCTTGACTTCTGGGGGTGAGTGACTCTAATCTGGGTCCTTAAATCCCCGACATCATCTGATCCCCCATGCGAATCTCCCCTGTCCTGCTTTGGGGAGAACACAGGGGCAAAATAGTCATTTAGCATCTGTGCCTGTTCCCTCATATCAGTCACTGGATCTCCTTCCTCCTTATTTAGTGGTTCCACCACTTGTCTCCCCTTCCTTTTGCTATTTACATGCTGAAAGAAGCCCTTTTTGTTGCTCCTGATATTCTTTGCAAGTCTCAGCTCATAATCAGCCTTAGCCTTGTGAAGAATCCTTCTGCAATGGGCCTCCTCCTCCTGGTATACCCTTTTGTCTTCTTGCCCCAGTGCCCAGGGGCAATTACAATAATTATTTATTTGTATTTGCTTATATTTATTTGTTACTCCTACTGTATTCTGCTTTTTTTCCTTTTGCAAGGAGCCTGAGGCAGCATATATACATAGGTCTCCTCTCCACCTTATCCTCACAATGGTCCAGTGAGAGATTCCATGACTGGCTCAAGGTCATGCGGTGAATTTCATGGCTGAGTGGGGACAAGAACGAGGATCCCCGAGTCTCACCACCAGGCCTTCCTGGCTCCCTGTATTTGCTTAGAAAGAACTGGGCCTAGTTAGAGCAGACAACCTGCCCACGCACTGCTGACACAGACTGGCCATGGTTTTCCAGGGTTTCACATAGGAGCTTTTCCTACCCTACCTGGACATGATGGGGATTGAACGTTGGAACATTCACAACAGATGAACAACCGTGTCCAATCTTCCCACCACTGCTATGGGGAAGCAGGTGAGAAAGGGCCTCCTTCGCTGACCTCCCAAAGACGGTGGGGTGAGAGTCAAAATCGCCCCGTGAGCACTTGCAAAAGGACATTCTCATAAACACCCTTTTGGAACTGGAATGTGGAGTGGGACACACAGGCTGCAGCAAAGCACCTCTTGTTAAGTCTCTCCCACTTCACACGATTGCCAAAACAGAAATGCCTGAAAACAAGGAGGGGTTTTAAACCAGAAGAAGGGATGAAGCAACAAAAAGCCGTTTGTAAAGTGCAATCTAGAGAATGTATTTGTTCAAGCACTCCTTTCCCCTGCAGTCAAATCACACATTATATTAACAGGTGGTCTGGTTTTGTGTGTTGATTCAAAAAAGACAACCAAGACTTGCCAGTTGGGATTGAGCCTATGGTGCATGGGGAGATGGCTCACTCTATGCTCCTGCACTACATTCCAAATAAATCCCCCCCCACACACACACACACACACAAGACGTTGCCGTAAAGATGAGGGCTCTGCACTGGGACGGGTTCATAAATGAGCCGGAGTGAGGGGTCCTGTGCAATCACAACACCAAATTGTTTAGGGTGCTTGAGGCGAACAAATGTTGCAGGAGCGCTCCAGATTACTAAGGGCCCGAGGAAGACAGAAGGGGCGTTCTGCTGCGTTCTTGCTTGGTCCACCTGGGCCACCACTGCTGGCATGGACCGGAATAGGCTCTGTGGAGCTTAGGGGAGTTTTCCCAGACCCATTTCTTCGGCCACTAATGTGCTGCCACCGCCACCGCTCCCATATCCCCGTTGCCACTGTTACCCATCACCCTGGCCTGCAAGGCTTCGCAGAGTGCAGCTGCAATACGTACTACCTTGCTGGAGTGAGGGAAGCTCAACTGTGACCTTCTGCACAGAAGGCAGGTGGTTCACCAGCCAGCGACAGCCGCTCCCCTATTCAGCGTCAGAAGGTGTAAAGTGATGTACGTGGCGCTTCATGCATGCGCTGATGAGCTGTGAGCGGGCAGTGACTGACCAAAATATCTTGAGATTATGGTGGACAGCTCAGTGGCAATGTCAACCCAGCACAACGCTGCTGAGAAACAGGCAAATGTCATGATGGGTATAGTTAGTAGCAGAACCCGTTGTTATTTGTTTTTTGGCGCCAGGCCAAGACCTTTTTATTTAAACGTTATTTTAACTGTTGCTTTTATTTATTGATTTTAAATCTGTTGCCAGGATGTCTCCAGTATTTTATGTATTTTGTACAGAAATATATTTATGTATGTGTTGGAAGCCGCCCCGAGGCTTATGCGAATGGGGCAGCATACAAGTTTTCCAAACGAACGAACAAACAACCTCTGCTAATATCATGCTAGCTGCATGTGATATGGCTGGTCTTGGAATACAGACGGAGAGAGCCTGCCAGGTCACACCAAGATCCATCTAGTCCAGCATCCTGTCCACACAGCAGCCACACCGCAGCCCACAGGAACCTGCGAGCAGGTCATTGGTGCAACAGCAGCCTTCGGCCAACATGCTCCAGCAACTGGAAGACATGCTGTCCCTGAGGCTGGATGTAGCATATAATCCTAACCCTTTTTTATATCAATCAGAAAAATATATTGTCCTACCAAGTTTGTTCCCACTAATCATTTAATCATTTTTCAACAATAGACAAGGTATGTTTGTTTGCCTCCATCCTCTTCAGAGCCTGCAAGAGTTTCCATTTCTCCTTCGCAAGGAACTCCTCCTCCAGCTGCACCGAGCGCACCAGCATCTTATCCAGCTTCACTCCCAGTGCAGAAAGGAGTGGGGCTCGGCACAACATAGAGGATCTTCCATCTCTTGAATGGTCTCTGGGATTTTTGGTCAGATTCTAATATGAAAAGTGCTGTTAAAAGTTACAGTAATACTTAAGCAGTTATGGTGCAGTGTCAGAAAACCATTCACAAGTAAGTGCAATAAAACTGATAAAGATAAAACATCAACTGGAAGCTAAATTCTAGGTCTCAGTCTTGTGATTTTCCAGAGGGACTCTAAAACTATTTTAGCTTAGGAAAAATGCTGCTTTTTGGCTAAAAGAAACGGACAAGACAATAGAGCAGCCCATGCCTCCTATGTGATTAGGAATGTATAATAGAGATCTAGTAACCCTAGATAGGGAAGGGAGGTTGGTGGCCATGCAAACCTTGTGAAATTCTAGGGCAAAGTGCCTAGACAGAGGGGACATGGTGGATGTGGTTTGCCTGGATTTCAGCAAGGCCTTTGACAAAGTGCCACATGATATCTTTGCTGAGAAATTTGGGAGTTTTGGTATAGACCAATGCACTGTCCATTGGATTAGGGCATGGTTGACTGACCAAAAGCAGAGGGTAACCATTAGTAGGGAATCATAAGGATGGCAGCCAGTGACAAGCGGGGTCCCCCAGGGCTATGTCCTGGGACCAATCCTGTTTAATCTTTTCATAAATGACATGGAAGAAAGGAAGAACTGCCTGCTGATCAGATTTGCAGACAATACTAAAACAGGGGCAGTGGCTACAACTGAGGAGCAGGAACTCCGGATCCAGAAGGATCTGGACAGACTACGGAAGTGGGCAGAAGACAACAGGATGGCGTTCAATGTGGAGAAGTGCAAGGTCTTGCACTTGGGGCATAGGAATAGCTGTCATAAGTACAGGTCAGGGGACAAGTGGCTGGAGAGCAGCACTTGTGAAAGGGACCTGGCTGACTGCAAGCTAAACATGAGTCAGCAGTGTGATGTGGTGGTCAAGAGGGCAAATGCCATCCTTGGTTGCATAGCCAGAAGCATGGCTTCTAGCTCAAGAGAGCTATTGCTACCACTCTATATGACTCTGGTGCGCTAGAGTCAGTGCAGTGTAGGGCCGCAAGGATGGTGGCTGGATTGCAGGGAAAGCTGTATGAGGCGAGACTGAGGGAACTGGGTCTTTTCAGCCAGGAGGAGACTGCAAGGGGATCTGTTGGCAACATACAGGTATGTGAGGGGGTGTCACATGGAGGTGGGTAGAGACCTGTTCTCCCCTGCTGAGGAGGGCAGGACGTGCTCCAGTGGAGCAAAGCTCAGGGAACCAAGGTTCAATTTGGATGCCAGGAAGTGCTTCCTGACAGTTAGGACCCTGAGGGTGTGGAATGGGCTTCCATGGGAGGTGGTTGAGGCCCCATGGGTGAGGGTGTTCAAGGATAGGCTGGATATGCTCATGAGTGGAGCTGGCTGGAGCCGGGGGTCAGTCTAGATGGCCCAGGAGACCCCTTCTGACTTGCTCCATTTCTATATATCTGTGTGCTCCAAGAAGAGAACATGGCACAGCTTATACTCATTAGAAAAACAAAAGCTCGTCCAGTGGCCCATGTGCCATCTATTTCTCAGGCCTGTGAAGTGACATGACATGAAGGAAGCCTGAAGAGCATGTTCTCATCTCGCATTATTTTCCTGGCATGGTTTGACTTGTGATAGGGGCTTCCACAGGACTAGAGCAAAATTGATTCAATCACCTGAGGAAGTCGGGTGCTCGCGTGATCATGTGCTGGAAATCTTCGAGGGACAGCTTTCCATCGTTGTCCAAGTCAGCCTCATCAATCACCTTGTTACACACCAGGCACACTTCTTCTGGAGTCAGTTCTTTGCGGGTCAGTTTGTTAACCGTCTTCTCCAAATCAGACTTGCAGATGTAGTCATCATTGTTAAAGTCTGCTGAAAGTAGCACTTGGGACTCTCAGAATTAGGAGGGAATAGAATCGTCACACTGGCTCTAACTCTGTAGAGTTACTAAAGGTATCCCGCTTTGCAGGTCTAGTACAAGCTCTGCTCAGCATCTCTTCCACCTGAATGGGCTTTCAGAACAGCAGGTGGGGCTGGGCTGAGGCATTTAGCTGCCAGAGGCAAAGGACGCGACACTCCCCTCCCTCCAAGTGCAAGCACAGACATCAGCTGGGCTGGTAAATGAATCTCGGTCAAGCACGGGTGATGCGTTTGCATCTTCAAGGCACCTCAAGGCTGGCATGTGGCATGTAGGGCAGTTCAAGTGGCACCCACATCTCTATCTGGCAGTGCCACCCCACCCACAGAACCTGCTACCCAGGCCAACCGCCTCATTCTGCCCAACAACCGGATTCATTCTATGGAAGCTGCAGGGGTGTGGGGTGCGTGCTGCATGCGCACGCACGCACCGACACACACGCTCCGGTCCCTGTGTTTCTGATAGCACTCTTTAGGTACTTGAAAGCTGGTCTTCCGGGGAGGGCCAGGATCTAGTCTCACTTGTCCCAGATTACATGACACAGAATAAGGGGTTAGAGGAAGCCAGATCATGGTGGGACATCAGGAAAAACTTCCTGACTGTCAGAGCAATGCAGCAATGAAGCCAATGACCGAGGAAGGTTGCGGGCTTTCCCACATTGGTGGCATTCAAGGTGCAGCTGGACAGCCATCTGAGAAGGACGGATGAACTTGGAGCACTGAATCAAGCAGTGTGTTGGCCTTATGGGCCCCTTCCAATTTTGCTGTTCTATGACTCTTACCCATGAACATCTGAATTTCAGTTGGCATAAAAACATTTTATTCCAGTAAATCCATTGTCTTTCAGTGGGGAAACACTGACTGCAAGACGGTTGCAGGATCTCCATTACCCTGAGGACAAGGGAAGTCCAGGTAGTGCAGTTTTCCCTATCAATTGATCTTACTGTCTGGAAACAGCTGTGCCTGCCAAGAGCCAGTGCAGAGTAGTGATTAAGAGTGTGGGACTGGGACTCCGGCTACCTGGGTCCTCATTCCCACTTAGCTATAGAACTCACTGGGTGACTTTGGGCCAGGGACAGACTCTCAGCCCAACCTACCTTGCAGGGTTGTTGTTGTGAGGATAAGATGGAAAGGAGGGGGAGAATTATGTAAACTGCCTTGAAATCCTTGGAAGGGAAAAGAGGGATGTGAATACATAAATGAATTAAATATTGAATGTTCTTATCTGCAACTTTTTAAAATTTTACTTTTAGGTTTGTGTCATGGTTCCAGCTTAGCATACTATACCTTGCTGCAGACAATGTCCTTGGATATGCAAAGAACGCAAGACTTTCCTGCTCTAAGAAAGCTGTGGGAGCATCAGGCAGCTCTCCCTTGCAACACACACACCCTCTGGCCAAAGCCGTCTCCAGGGCTCCCTGCAGGGCCACTCACCATAGATTCGGAAGGCATAGTAAGCCTTCAGCTCGCGAGGTGCCATCTCACTCATTACCGAGAACATATCCAGGAAGTCGTCCAAGGTCATGTTTCCCTCGCCATCCTCGGAGAAGACTTCAGCTATCCGTTGTCGGAAGGGATTGTCCTAGGAAAGGAAGGAGTGGGGAATGAAGTGGGCCTATTTCCCTTCTGGTTGGTTTCATGGTATCCCTCCCCCCCGGGGCAAACTTTCTAGGCAACTCAAGATGACATTCTTCTTTCAGGCTGCTAAGCTCCTTCCTTTCAGTGTTTTCCTCAGGAACTGCAATATGGGCTTTTAAATCCACGGCGGCTGCAGTTCTGGCAGCCGCTAGAGTAGATGCCAGCTGGTTTGCTCTCCTGGAGCAGTGCTGCCCTGGTGCTTTCTGCAGCCGTGAAGCTTGTTCTTTCTTAGCTTTGAAAAGCGTTCGTGTATGTTTTAACTTGTACTGGCAGCACAACAAGAGATGCTGACAGCCTCCAAGAGTCATTTTGACCTCACCTTGGTGCTCTCATCTTTGGAATGAAGCAAGGAGGAGCGAGTCCCCTGGCTGTTTCCACGCAATTCGATTTTTGTTCCAAGTGCAAGTCAGATGTTCATGGGTGGAAAGAGCCCACACGTTTGCAGAAGGGTCAGAGGCTGTCAATAATTTCTCATACTGCCTCAGTCCAAGCGGACACCCAATCAGGGTTTTTATGGGAAACCAACAGAATGGGCAAGAGGCCTCAACCCTTTTGCCGTGCCACCACCAGAGGTGTCAAGAGGAGGCGATAGGGAGACCTTGGTACAGGCAGAGGCTGGTGGTGCTTGGGTCAGCTGTGCTGCTGTTGCAGGTGTCACAGGGAAGTTTAAGCTGGGGTGGGGGCTCCTTGAATGGAGCCAGTCCGGGAAGGAGAGAAGGCAATGATAATTTGCTCCCTACCTTCTTTCCCACTGTGACAGTCAGATGGAATGTGCTGCTTCATTGGAAAATTGGAAAAAAAAAGGCATTCCATCAGAGCTGACTTATACCTCAGTTACAGCCGACATGTTGACAACCTTCTTGTCTGTTTGCTGAAATTTTGGACAACTCTAGCAATGAACTTTTCAGAAGGAATCCATTCGTTTTCAACCACATCTCATACATCCCATAGCGCTAATCCTTCAGCTGATTTGTTTATTGCCATGATCCAGCAGGTAGCATAACACATTCAGTACGCAAAAGTCTACTCAGTGATGCAGAAGTGAGTTGTCATATGTAGAAACAGCCAAGGATCGAACCCTGCTTCTTTCAGTTCAGAGAACAGAGCACCAAGACTGGGTCAAACATGGCAGAAAGAAATCAGCTGGAGAAAAAGAAGACAGCACCTGACAAGTTAGTCACTGGAGAGCTGCTCAGAGAGTACAGTTCCGTGTGCACGGGGGGTTCCCTGCCCCCTTTCCCCAGGGGTGGAATATTTTTCCTCATGGCTTGGTGAACTCTTCCTACCTATGGAAGTAACTCTGGAGCTCATTTCGTCTGTGACTAATGACAAGCACGGCTGTACGTCTGTTGTGAGGGGCCTGGGCAGAGAGCCAGCCAGAGAAGTCCAAGGGTTGTCAAATCCAACTCCTCCTGCAAAGCAGGACAGCAGACCACTTTCCTGTCCCTGCTGCTTATGACTCAACCCATGCAGCCCCAGACACCATAGGCTGGTGTACTCAAGCAGCTTTCTAGCCCCATGCCACTCGGGCAGGCAGAGACAGGGAGCCTCTCTTCCCATAGGAGCCAGTCAGCTTCCATCTCTGGTTTCAGAGGACAGACTTTCGCTGGTTTTAGTCAAACTGCAGCAATTCCATCCCATTCCACCTTCAAGGGAGCTGCTTCTGTGTTCAAGATGCCGGTGGCACCTTGCTGGCATTTGGTTGGATCCAGATTTAGTCACACATAGGGTGGACCCATTGAAATCAGTGGGGCATAGGCTAGTCTTGAGTAACTATTTTTCATTTATTTCAATGGGCAAACTCTAAGTTCTGTATAATTAAATCTGGATGTGATCTACATAATTTCCTTACCTTGGGCAATCAGTACACAATATATAATTCCCTGGGGGATCAAACTATGGCAGTGTGAGTTTATCTCCTTGACAGGCTTGCTGGCCAGTACCTTCAGCTCAGGCATGCTGGCAATGAGTTCATAGGGGAGCTTCACGTTGGGCCTCTTTGTGTAATCAAGTGGGACCAGCTGAGGGGCCAAGTCACGGTACCTGTCAAACAATCTGCAAGCAAGCAAAGGAAAGGAACGCGTCTCTCTCACCAGTCTGATCCAGGTCAGGGCCTGCCCTGTGGCTGTTCACTGGGATGGCAATAGGCAGGTATCACTGGGCAACTTGCAGGAGGTGACAGGAGCGGGGATGCTTTGGGGATCTCAAAGAGTGTGGCAAGCAGCAAGAGAGCTGGAGTCAAGCAGCAAGACAGCAGAGCCGAAGCACAGTCCCAGCAGGGAGGGCACTGGGATCCCTGCTGTCCTTGGCTGCTCCTCTGTTAACCTCGTTTGCTTTTCCTGGCAGCATGGGGGGCTCAGCTGGATGCAGCTGCTGGCATAGGAAGGAGGCCGGGGCAGGGGCCGGTCTCCCCTCTCCTCAAAAACTGATTGCAGTGTTAGAAGGACTCAGGGTGCAGCAAGGGCAGAGGCTGGATGGGTGGAACAAAGCTTCATTGTTGCCTTGAAGGCTATTGGTTGAACTAAGGAAGGTAAAATCTTTCACAATTTCAATTTCTTCCTTGTTGGCAAAGTTGTACGATTCCTCTGCAGTCCTGATTTTTGTTTTCTCAATGTTCAGCTGCAGTCCTGCTTCTTTCACTTTCCGCAGAAGTTATTTTGATGTGTTACTGCTTTGTGTTAATACTACAGCATCACCTGACATCATCTAAATTATTGAAGTATCATTCATCAATTTTCACTCCTAATCAGCCTCATCCAGCTTGGCTCATTATATGTTCTGCACAGAGGCTGAAAAGGTAGGGAGATAACAAAGACTGTTGTCTGACGCCTTTGTGTAGGAGACCATTGCTTTTCTCTGTATTCTATCCTGAGCGTAGCTTCCCGTGCACAGTAGTTTATGGACAAGTGCTGAGGCAAACGCATTTCTCTCCGGACCAACCAGTGCCTTTCAGGATCCTCGCCAGCAGTGGCTTCACTGCAGTGCATAAAGAGTGGATTGATCTGAGCATTTTTGGTGCGCTCCATTAAGCGGCGTATGATACTTACCCCAAGTGCCTCTTCCTTTTTGGAATCCAGCTTGTATATTAGGTATTTCTCACTCTATAGAGGCTACAGTTCCTCATTACATTCTTTGATCATCCCTGTGCTTGCATGGGGAATTAGTGCAATGGTCCTATAATTACTCTTTTGTACCTCCTTTCTTGGAGATGGGAATGTATATCGAATGTTTCCAATCTGTGGCCCATTGTTTTGTTTTCCATGTTTGTTCACATACTCTTTTTAGGATTTGGACTAATTCAGTTTCTGAAGCTTGGAATAACTCTATTGGCACCCTAACCGCCCCCCACTCCTGTGATTTATTCCTTCCAAGTGGCTCAGAGTAGCTTTCACATCACTTTCTAATATCGCAGGTTTTTCCTAATAGGGTTCCTCTTTGAAGGAGTTGGTCATCCTGTTATGTCATCTGTATAGTCCTTCAGTATGTTGCTTTCACCTTCAATTTATTTTGGTCAGATAGTATGTTTCCCTGTCAGTCTTTCTTCATTTGTAATCTAGGTTTCAATTTCCCTTTGATTTCTTGGATTTTCTGGAACCGGTCTCTTGCTTTCCCCCTTTTGTCATTGTCTTCTACTTCTTTGCTCTGGTCACTGTAGTAGTTCTTGTCATCTCTAAGTGATAGTTGTGATCATTCTAAAAATCAGGCTAGTTGTAGAAAAGTTGCTTTCAGGATCCTGTCCCTATTTCTGTCCCCTTATGTTTTTACTTCTTACCTGTCCTTAACAGTGATAAATTCTCATTAATATCCTCTACTATAAGAACGGCTAAATCTGGTTTGCTTGTTTAACGCTACTGCTTATTGCCACTTTTTAATGTTCACTTTTTAAACTGAGCTGTTTTGTTAATTTTGGAATGGGTCCAGATTTAGAGTAGATCCACTGAAATCAATGGGATGTCCAATTTAAGACCCTTTGATTTCAACTGACCTACTCCAAGTATGTCTAAAACTAAATGCAAGGCCTTATTTGTAGCCAGCTACTCTGAAACCCATGTACAAAGGTGGGCTACACACTATTGGAGTTGTCCTAATAAAAGCTGTAGTTTTATGTTTTGCATTAAAGAAATCTTTGCCTCCCATCCCACGCCTCCCAAATGCCCACGGTTGCTCCATCCGGACTCCCCTAGGGCAACAGGGGGCTCAGGATAGACCAGCGAGTCACCAGCCAGGTAACCAAATGGACAGCGCAGCAGGCAGGAGGAAGTTACAATGCAACCAGTCTGAGTCCACAAAATGTACTGTATCAACTCCTAATTGTCTGGATTTACCAAGTTTCTTGCCAGAGTTTTGAAAACTGCTGCCAGCTGGTTATCTGCTTGCTATTTTAAATACCAAACTAGTTTACTCTTTGTCTTTATGGAATTTCCTACCTCAAACTGTAAAAGCAAACATTGATACCTGTTGAATTCTGGAACTCCAGATCTGTCACTCAAGCACCTAATGTATCATAATGTTTCCACGATGTTTTCCTGATGATTTCTCAATGTTTCTGTGTTGTCCTTGTATGCTTCTATATTGTTCTGGCATATAATCCATTCGAAGTCTCACCCCCCTCTCTGCAATCCATATGTGAATCCAGCTCAATAAAACACTCTGTATATGCTCTGTTTCTTTGTAGTCAGTCTTAAACTCGCTACCCCGCAGTGCTGCTGTATTTAGGAACACCTATTTGCTATTAGAGGGATGCAGGTAGCGCAGCGGTTTAAACTGCTGTGCTGCTGGGCTGGTTGATTGAAAGGTTGATTGAAAGGATTGAAAGGGCTGGTTCCAATCTGCACAACGGGGTGAGTTCCCGTTGCTCCATCCCAGCTCCTGTCCACCTTGCAGTTGGAAAGCATGCAACTGCAAGTAGATAAAAAGGTACCACTTCAGTGGGAAGGTAACAGCGTTCTGTGCACCTCGGTGTTTAGTCATGCTGGCCACATGAACATGGAGACTGCGGACAAACGCTGGCTCCCTCAGCTCGGAAATGGAGGTGAGCACCGCCCCCTAGAGTCAGGCATGACTGGACGCAACGTCAAGGGGAAACCTTTACCTTTGTATTTGCTATTAATAAACTCTTGAATGCTTGAGTTCATACTCTCTTTGGATCTTTCATTCTTTGCTGATCATTAAGAAATAAAGGCATCTACAAGGGGAGTTTTCACCCCAACTTCAGGAAAGTGGGGGCACTGAGGGGGAGTCTTCTGTGTTGTCTCTGCTGGCCTCTGTGGTTGCTACAATGGGCTCGAATAGTCTCTGTGGCCCACAGCTGGCATCAGGGGAAGTGGGAGAGAACAATGAGGCAGGCATTTCAAAAGCATGCCCTATTAATAATAGATGCCTTATCCATGATACGATTATGCCGTTGGCTACTGTTCCACACGTGAAACACCCCCGTGCTTGGGTTTCACAAACTGCAGTGCTTCGCTCTGCTTGCTCTTCTTGCTGTACAGCACATAGAGCAAGAAAAGCACAGTTCTCCCATCTAGACCCTCCTCGCCCCCACCTTGCCTGAAGAGGGTGGGCGTTTGCTGAGTCATTAATGCATACCCCACTGTTCTTCCGTGGAGTTTTCAGTCATGCATGGTGCTCTCCCCACATCTCCCAGCAAAATTTTATTCTCACGATAACCCTATGTGGTAAGCGAGGCCTTTTCATTAGCTGCCCTCTGCATGTAACACCCTTTCCAGAGAGACCTGCCGAGCCCAACATTCATCTTTCTAGCACTGGGTTCTCCAGGTCCAGGCATTTGATGGCATGTGATGCATCAGTTGAAGTGTTTGGTGTCCCTGATGTTTTGGTTTTTATGGCTTCTTTTTAGTCACTAGTGAGCAGAGTAAATAATTTTTAGTTAATTCTATGAAGTTTCTGATTGGTATGTTTTAATCTTGCAAATTCTTGTGAGTTCTCCCTTCAGCATCAAGTTGAAAGGACATGACTCCAAGCTGAGTGGGGATTCAAACCCAAGGTCCTAGGCCAAAGCCCTGCCCAGTGTACACATTATTCCTTAATCTAGGTGGAACCATTAATTTCTCAGTTGGGTAATGAGAAATGGCCGGGGAAACATAAAAGACACAAGAGCAAAATGGTTGCAAATGTTGTGTTTTCAGTTCTTTCTCCTGGTAAACCCAAGAGTCAGAAAAGATTTGGTCAAGATGGAAAGTGGGAATTATGTGATGGAAGGTCTGTAATACTTCTGATCACATGTATCAGCTTGTCATGGGGCATGCCTAAGTCTACGGTACTTCCAGATGGACAGCACTACCAATAAAAAACGGTGCGTAGCCATTCTGACTCCTTCTCCTCAACGGGTCTTTTTTTGAAAAGTGAAGAGAGGGAAGAACCTGCATGGGAAAAACCCTAATTTGGCCCACTTGCAAAATTCCAAGAGCAAGGCACACATTGCTTGATTAAAAAACCTTGAAGCATGCTTTTACAAACCATTAATACTCACCGAATCAGTCAGCTATATTGCAATGTACTTAAACTTACTTTGTCAGTGTAACAATAAACTTCCCTTAGCTGATGAGGAAGAAAACCAGAACACCAAGTTAAAGATCGAGGCTGGCAAAATGCATCTGATCAAGCATGCGTTTGGCATCAGTAAAGAGCCAGCCGGAGCACCAAGTTGCATTTCCCTCCGTGTCGAAGAAAGAAGTTTAGGGGCAGGAACAGAAATACCAGCGTGAGCCTTTGGATCTTGCCAGGCATGCCATTTTCTCACCTCAGAATTTCTTTCCTTGTGAAAAAAGTTGCATCCTGAAAAGCATAAAGACACAAATCAGGCATGGGAGTGGGTGCAAACGGAATGATTTGGCCTCCTTTTCGGGAAATTTGCCCGGTGCAGTGCTACGGATACCCTGGTGGGATGCGGTGGCGCAGTGGGTTAAACCGCTGAGCTGCTGGGCCGGTTGATCGAAAGGTCGGCAGTTCGCATTCGCAGACAGGGAGAGCTCCCGTGCTTTGTCCCAGTTCCTGCCACCCTTGCAGTGGGAAAGCATGCAAATGCAAATAGATAAAAAGGTACCACTTTGGTGGGAAGGTAACAGTGTTCCGTGCACCTTGGTGTTTAGTCATGCTGGTCACACAGCCACGGAAACTGTCTGCAGATGAACGCTGGCTCTCTCGGCTAGGAAATGGAGGTGAGCACCACCCCCAAGAGTCAGACATGACTGGACTTTAATGCCATGGGGAAACCTGCACCTTTACGGATACCCACCAACTCAGGTGGCAACTGGTCCCAATGCTGGACTAGCAGAAAGGGATACAATCAGCTCACTGAATCTAAGCAAAGGGGGCATGTTATTCCTCCGAGTGTGGCTGTCAGTGCCACAGCCGCTGCTCACTCACGCACCCTTCCCCTTTCGTTCCCACCCAGGGTCCTGCGCACTTTGGGGATGCGGAGGAGAAGCCCCCTTCTGCAGTCCGTCCTGCGCTAGCAACATTCAGACGTGTGCACAAACAGATGTGTGATGGTGTCTCTTTTCTTACCTGATATGCACCCAGTTGTTCTGGGGTGAAGATGGTCTGCTTGTTACCCATTCTTGAGCTTGAGGCTTTGTCCCATGACACCTGCCCCTCTTGCTCCAGAGGCTGAATGCCAAGATTTGGAGAAGCCGCAACCACATAGCTCGCTGGGGCTGGGGGGGATCAGGTATCGCTTGCTCTGTGTTGTGGTCTGGACCATAATAGGGGCATTACATCAAATCCGCAGCCCAGTGAAGGCAGCACAAGGTGTGTGTTCAGCCCCACTCACCCGCCTCTGGAATGCTGCAGGCAGTTTCAGGTTACAGCACAGAGGCCAACAGCACAGCCTTCTTGCTGGGCAACCAGCAGGATGCAGGCTGGTGGAACTGAGATGGAACAGCAGTGCTCAAGGGCTCTCTCTGGCCACCCAAAGGTGCCTTCTGCCAAATCACAGCTTGTTGAATTAGGCCCAGGATTCCAGCCTGCCTTGCCCTCTAGAATCTTGGTCCTGTCTTCCGTGGCATTGATGCTCCCTCCTACTTGGTGTCATCTGCAGATCTGATACGTACCCTTTACAGTTTCATTTAAAATAAATATATATTACTTTTGGAGTATATTCTGTAAGGGCATACAACAAAATACTCCAACAAAACCATAGTAATATTTTAAAGGCAGCATACAATACCCCAGCGAGAACATAAACTGTGCTTTAAAATATATCCCCCCACCCCACGCCATCCTGATCTGCAATTCTAGCACTGGACCACACTGCAGGACAGCTGTAACTTAACGGGCAAGTTCAGATATCACTACAACATGGCATGATAAATTGCCAGAATAAATTGCACGATGTGCCAAGCAGGTGTAAGGAACCTGACAAATCACAGGGCTCTTTGTGGTTGCATTCCTCCCTCCCTCTTACCCTACTTCAGTGATGGTGACCCTTTTAGGGACCGAGTGCCCAAACTGCAACCCAAAACCCACTTATTTATCACAAAGTGCCAACACAACAACAAAACCTAAATACTGAGGTTTTAGTTTAGAAAAAATAACTCACAGCCAGTCCAAGCAAATATATATATATATCTACTTGGCAGCGCACTGGGTGGCCATGCGAAAGCTTGGATGAGTCGCAGCTAGAGTCGCGGCTCGTGACGTCATCGCCTGGCACCGCTACTCCTTTCTGAGCATGCGCATCGCCCCTATGCGCACTGTTGTCTGAAGCTCAGCTGCGGGGGTGATGCTGGGGTGACTTGTCTCACATACCAACAGAGAGGACTCCGCGTGCCCACTCCACGTGCCCACTGGGGCGTGTGTGCCATAGGTTCGCCACCACTGGGTTGGGGCATAGTTGACTGACTGAAGGCAGAGGGTAATCATTAGTGGGGAATCATCAGGATGGTGGCCAGTGACAAGTGGGGTCCCCCAGGGCTCTGTCCTGGGTCTGATGCTGTTCAATCTTTTCATCAACGACATGGAAGAAGGGGTGACTAAACTGCTAATCAAATTCACAGACGATACTTAAACAGGGACAGTGGCCACAACTGAGGAGCAGGTACTCCAGATCCAGAAGGGCAGGAGACAACTGGATGGCGTTCAATGTGGGTAAGTGGAAGGTCTTGCACTTGGGGCATAGGGATGGGTGTCGTAAGTACAGGTTGGGGGACAAGTGGCTGGACAGCAGCACTTGTGAAAGGGACCTCGGGGTGCTGGTTGGCTGCAGGCTGAATGTGAGACAGCAGTATGACGTGGTGGTCAAGAGGGCGAACGCCACCCTTGGTTGCAGAGCCAGAAGTGTGGGTTCTAGATAGAGGTATCACCACACAACTCTATATGACTCTGGTGCGCCTGCAACTGGAGTAATGTGTTCAGTTCTGGGCTCCATATTACAGGAAGTATATACCCAGTTTAGAGCATAGGGCCACAAGGATGGTGGCTGGATTGCAGGGAAAGCAGTATGCGGCAAGACAGAGGGAACTGGGTCTTTTCAGCCTGGAGAAGGGGAGACTCAGAGGGGATCTGTTGGCAACATATAGGTACATGTCATTGTTAGTCGTGAAGTCGTGTCCGACCCATCGCGACCCCATGGACAACATTCCTCCAGGCCTTCCTGTCCTCCACCATCCCCTGGAGTCCACTTAAGCTCGCACCAACTGCTTCAGTGACTCCATCCATCCAGCCACCTCATCCTCTGCCCTCCCGTCCTTCTTTTGCCATCTATTGTTCCCAGCATCAGGCTCTTCTCCAGGGAGTCCTTCCTTCTCATTAGGTGGCCAAACTATTTGAGTTTCATCTTCAGTATCTTCAGCCCATTGCCATATGGGGAGAGATTGTTTCCATGGATGGAGGCCAGGCCTCGCTGGCCTTCCGATTACTATGTTGCCAAGGCGACAGCCCAGCCCGAGCCCGAGCCCATGCAGTGGCCAGGCCGTGCATTCCAAGAGGGCAGATTGATTACCACTGTGCTACTGGACAGTGTGTTTTGCTTGTGGACAAGGAGGGCACCTGGCTTGTTCCTGCTCTTGGAATAAGCAGGCGGGAAACTTCCAGTCCCAGTGTTGTTGAGCACCATGATGCTGGGACCAACGCCAGAACCCCAGTAGCCCCCCGCCCCAGAGGGCCTCCTTCAACCCGACACCTGCCGATTGACGTCACTTTGCAGACACCTCCTCTGCCTGAAACACGGGCCACAGGCTTGACTGACAGCGGCGCCACTGCTTCGTTTATGGATGAGAATTTTGCTGTAAAGCACTCCATTGCTGCCACCTCCCCTCCAAGTGGATTCAATTCAGAGGCAGCTGCTGCGGGGGGGGGGGGGGGGTCCATTGTCATGCCGGTCTTCCCCATTGACCCTGCAGATTGGTAAGCATCGCGAACAAGCTGTGTTCTTGTTAGTAAAAGATTTGCAATACCCCCTGGTACTGAGCATGGACTGGTTAGTTAAGCATGAACTTCAAATAGCGTGGGACTCTGGGCAAATACCATTTAACTCCGAGTTTTGCAGCCTCCTCCAAACTCTCCCCCAACATCCCGCACCACTCTTCCTCCTCAGTTTCAGTACTTTCGGGATGACTTTGATCCCCAAGAGTCTGACAAGCTACCACCCCACCGCACTTGTGATATGGAAATCCACTTACAGCCGGGGGTCACCCTCCTTGTTGGCAAATTACGGCCCATGTCCCCCAAGGAGCTGCAAGTACTCAATTCATTTCGACCAACTTAAAAAAAGGTTTCATTCATCTGTCCTCATTGCCCACTTCAGCCACACCCCTTATTGTTCCCCAAAAAAATTCAGACGACCCTAGAGTTTGTATCGATTTCTGCCATCTAAATTTGATTACCGTCCCCAATACACATTCCATGCCTTTATTCTCTGAGATTTTAGAACGTCTGGGCCACGCAGCCGTTTTTACTAAGTTGGATCTCTGAAACGCATACAATTTACTCTGCATCCGCCCTTGATTTGAACCTTTGACCACATTTGCATCACATTTTTGCACATATGAATTCACCGTTTTACCTTTTGGGCTCATGGGCGCAGGCGCAGTTTACATGGTTGATAAATGAGTTTTTTCATGACTTTTTGGATGACTTTTTGATTGTGAACTTGGATGATTTGTTGATTTTTTCCAATGACCCAGAGTCCCATGTGTGCCACATGCGAGCAGTCCTCCAATGCATGCGAGAGAATCACCTCTCTGCTAAGCTGGAAAAATGTGAATTTCATAGCACTTCCCTGATGTATTTTGGGTATCAAATTTCTCGAATGGGTTACAGATGGATCTCGAGAAAGTGTGTGCTGTATTCTCTTGGCAACCGCTTCGCACGAAAAGGGAGCTGCAAAAGTTTTTGGGTTTTGCTAACTTCTATCACCGATTTATACCTCACTTCTCTCATTTGACAGCTCCTTTGACTGACCTTTTGAAAGAGAAGAGACGGCGATTGAACTGGCCTCCTGAGGCAGTGGAGGCTTTTGCCGCCTTAAAACACCATTTCGCTTCAGAAAACCATCTAATCCACCGCAATATGTCTGTTCCTTTTGTGTTAAAAACTGACACTTCTGACAGAGCTATAGGGGCAGTTCTTTTGCAATGAGGAGGAGGGTCCAGCAGTGACCTCAGGCCTGTGGCGCTTTACTCCCGCAAACTCACAAGTTCAGAACATAACTACAGTATTTGGGAGAAGGAATTGTTGGTGATAAAAGTGGCCCTGGAAGAAAGGAGATATTTGTTGGAAGGGGCCTCTCACCCGGTCCTCATTCAAACTGACCATAAGAACTTGGTCCATTTTGCCTCAGCTAAGATCCTCAACCAAAGGGAAGCATGTTGGGCATTGTTCTATACACGTTTTCGTTTCCACATAGAGTATTTTCATCATCAAAGAACATAGAAACATAGAAACAGAGCGAGTCAGCAAGGGTCTCCCGGGCCATCTAGTCTGACCTCCGGCACCAGCCGACTCCGCTCACGACACGCCCACCATGTGGAACCTCCTAGCAGATGTGCTGTCCAGGAAACCTGAGTACTTTTAGGGCAATGAAGTGCACCCTGAGCCTGCCCCTATCTTACCACCTGAAATGCCTGCGTCAGTCACTGCTTCGACCTCTTGGCAGGTGGACTTTCTCTGGGCCCAACAGGCTGACCCCTTTGTCCAGGCCAAGAGGGAAGAAAGGCAGGTGCTCTACCTTCTGTTTACAACTTCGAGAACAGTTTATTGTTACATAACCAAGCTGTGTACATTCCATTGCCACTTAGAGAATGAGTGTTACAACAATGCCACGATTCCCCCTCTGTGGGTCATTTTGGGGTTTATAAGACTTTGCATATGGTAACCAGGGACTTTTGGTGGCCTCGCATACACTACGATGTCAAGTCTTATGTTCTTTCATGCCTCACTTGCCAACAGGCCAAACACCAGCCTGGCAGACCTTCAGGGTTGCTACAACCAGGGGACGCCTCCTGGCCCCTGGCACACAGTTTCTTTGGATTTCATCATGGATTTGCCCCCATCTAGAAGCTTTACCACCATATTGGTCATCACAGATTTATTCACCAAAACGGCTCACTTTATTCCTT